CCCCAAATAGTTCCTTATAAAGAGTTTATGCATCCATCTTGATCAGATCAGTACAACGGATAATATTCAACTCGAAAGCCCTTCAACTCTGCTAAGAGCTATTCCAGTCAAAGAAGAAAAATACAATAGCGGGTAGAACGGAATCTTTCTCATCATTATCACATAAAACATTAAATTGGGGTATTATTTCAGATCTCAAAATTTCTGTATCAGGTGTAAAACATCAACCTGTACATATAGGATACTTGAGTGTAACACTCCATATTATAAATAATGGTTGATTCATCGAGCCCTGGAACCATCACCTTAGACAATGTAATACAATTGCGCTTTCTGATTTTGGAGACACAGAAGGATTCGGTAAACCTGGTACAGATGGCAAGTTATGCGCTTTACACTTACAAGATAATGTATACAAGCGGAAAGAAGATACATTCACAGGTAATCTGGGAGATTTAAGTGATGTGGACGTTAGTAGACTCAATAAAAACACTTCGTACAATCTTACTCGCAATGATGGTAATAAATTGACTATGGTCGAAGCAAAAATCGAGTGGCTACTGAATATCGTCATTACCCCACCATATGTGATGATGGGTAAGGGACATCAATTAACTAAGATAATATATAGTGGGATCGTACTCGGGGCTTATATCCCCTCAAAACAAAAAAAGTGTTAGTTGCTCCCCTGCCAGAAAACCCAGATCATATGTTATTGAGTCGTCCAGCAGTAAAAAAATGTTAATTTAAATTATGTTACTGAATTCAATGATATTGAAGATAACTTGAAATGCTATACCAGCTCTTTCTACAATTATTATTGAAGTCTTGTTTGGAGATGCACTGGAAGATGCTTTCGAAATATTACCAGGTCTATCAATTAAATGGCTTAAGAAACACGAGCGTCAACGTTGCAGTATTATTTATATGGGAGTATCACCCGCTGCAACCCTTGAGGGGGTCCAAATTAATAAAGTGATAGCATTTCTCTTACTAAGATATTTATGCCGTATAATTTACATTTAATAAGGTTGATGTATACTCTCAAAACATTGAAACAAGACCAATTAAAGACTATTATACAATATAATAATATACATTATGGGTTTATATCAGGTGTTCGATGAAGCACCTGAAAAGATGGATACCATTGATGGATTTCGATTACATCAAATAAGCGACATAAAACATCAAATAGAGACGGAGAGGGAGTTGCGACTTGGATTGTATAAAAGGTATCACAGAGCTGTGAATGCTCTCGACGGAGTTGACACTTCGCTTGTAACAGTTGACATGGGACTCAGTGTAGTGGGTGTTGGTTTATTATCAAAGATAATCGCCATGCGTATCGTACTTGGCATGGAAGTAGACTGCCCGGAATAGCGATAAAATAAATTTCTCGTAAGTTGCAAAAGAAAGCATTAAAACATGATAATATTTGGATACTCGCCAAAGCAAAGATGAATAGCCTTGAGGATCATATTTCAACAGCACTGGCTGATTGTAAGATATCCGAGGAGGAGTTTCGTTTAGTGCTGTCAGAACTCACCAAATACAACGTAATGAAGCAGGAGATTCGATCCAATTCTCATAAGACCAGTGGTATTAGTGAAGACGAGAAAAAAGTTGATAGGACAGGGGAGACAACAAGCACGTCAATTATTCCGCGCCAAAACCAAAGAACTGGTTGGAGATTAAAAATAGATTGCTTCCTATCGTTGGATCACATTTAGACGAATGCTTACATAAGTATATAATAATGGAGAATTACAAGCCAATCAAATGGCGAGAATTACCACAGGGTATATATTATATCAGAGATGTCAAACCAACCAAATACGGTCATCAATTTTTTCTTTCCAATTTCGAAAAAAGAGTATATAGTCTGGTCTCCTAGTAAAATGAACAAAGAACTTAGTAAAATGTTGAATATCATTTTCTTCAAAATAATGGTATGCGTATGAGTAAAAATAATAAAGAATATTTTCATTATACGAGGAAAACGCAAACTGCCAGTCAAATGAATTTTCAAACATTTCACACTATACCATAACATTTTGTGGACATCACACGAGAAACACTTACCTGTAGGTCAATATCATAAATGCAGAGAGGTGAGACAATGAGAAACACTTACCTGCAGGTGAATGTCATTAATGTGGAGAGGGGAGACAATGAGAAACACTCTTACCTGAAGTTGAATGTTATTAAAGCGGAGAGGTGAGACAATGAGAAACACTTACCTGTAGGTGAATGTCATTAATGTGGAGAGGAGAGACAATGAGAAACACTTACCTGTAGGTGAATATCATTGATGCGGAGAGGTGAGACAAGGTGTGCCTAAGGAACTTGGCTGGCCGCAAGGAACTCTGGGTAGGAGGGTTATCAGCTTCTTAAGACCAAGGCATAGTTAGTTTAGGCTTTGATAAACACTGGCGTCTAATCTAATCAAGCTGGCAATTGGTATTTTGTAACTCATCCTTATGCCCGCATTCTTCTACGACAACGGATATCCCGAATAACCCAGAATAGGAAATAGGATAAATCTCAGTCATTTCTTGAAATTCTTAAATAAGTCTTATTTGATTCCAAAACATTCGTATAGTTCGCAAAGTTCGTCAAATCGGCGAGAATATTTTGTTTGTCAATAACTTTCATGGAAGGGTCCCCTAATTGAAATTTCATGGCTGTATCGTAATCCATTCGTTATTAATTCTTATGTTCCATAACAGCTTTGCAATCGATTCTTTTGCAGTCTTGGCTATACTTAGCGATTCGGCCCCAAATTTCTTGTTCTCAACCCGAAAACATCCCAAAACATTCACGAATGTCCAGAGTCAACTGCGAATCATGTAAGAATTAAGAAAGAACAACATTTGGCATATTCGTAACTTACTCATAGATGATTCTTACAATAACTAATTCTTATGTTCCGTAACATCTTTGCAATCGATTCTTTTGCAGTCTTGGCTATACTTAGCGATTCGGCCCCAAATTTCTTGTTCTCAACCCGAAAACATCCCAAAACAGCCACGAATGTCCAGAGTCAACTGCGAATCATGTAAGAATTAAGAAAGAACAACATTTGGCATATTCGTAACTTACTCATAGATGATTCTTACAATTTGTGCATGATCCGTACATAAATCTTGTAATTCGTACATGTTTCTTAACCGATTCCTGGCCTTCTTCATATTTTTCAACCCGCTTAGACACAAAAGTTTGCATTATTGCCCAAATCATTACAAATTTTGAAAGTTTCCCATTCGGGGTGATTCGGGATATTCATGGTCGTAGTGAAACGGGGCATTAAGAAAAACACAAAAGCTTTCTCTTCAATATGTCCGTGTATGGAGTTCTATTGTTTTGGCTTGAGAAACTGAATCGGGCTTTTGAGGTCATGCTCGGAAATTGTTTCTTGCATGACTTAAAAACACAAAACCGTCGACATACTGTCCCTTTTTCTACCAAAGCTTACTTACGCCACGTTTCCATGAAATTCTCGCATAGTTCACTGTTATTATAGCTATCGCGACCAGTGAAGATCAAGGCACGGAGTATACCTTCAGAAGACTAACTGGATCTGGTGGTCAGTCTTGCTGACTTGGTTGATGCATGTCATTGTATCCCAATAGCATAGATCGATGCTCATGATGTCGGTCACTGGATTGTCTTGTCCAGACTTTCATTATTTTCAGATCTCCGTCATATAGCTGGAATATTGCTGAGTGCGGCATTAATCAACAAAGAAACAAACATAGCTATCGCATCAACATTCTTTCAGATTTCTGAAAATCTAACTGTGCAACTTTCAACAATTTCATCTGCTTTCACCCTCATTTTCCCCAACAAAACTCAAAATTATCTACAAATGTCAATAAGAACTGACATGACAGTTTTTTATATTCTTTCGTCGATTGAAACAGCGAGTTGCAATAATTAAACTGTATTTATTTCATCCCTGGGTTGTTGGTTTTTCCTTGACACATCAGACGAGAGCTTACTTGATATTACCTGGGTAGTCCAAGCCATTGCTTGTTGTGAGAGGTTACTAAATGGTGAGGATTCACGTTAGAATTGGTCCCCTGCTTCAGAGACTTGGCATGTCATCATACCCCAACTGTGAGGATCGTGATTCACAATAGCAATCACAGGATTGTCTGGTTGAATTTTTTGGCTGCCATCATATATGTCATATTGATGAGTGAAGAGTTAAACAACACAAGCACGCATGCATGTATGCAGTCAAGCATATGTGCACGCAAACACACAAACGCACACACGCACACATCAAGACTTAATACTGGCGTGAAGATTCCGGGTTAGAATTGGTCTGCAGCAACCCATGCTTGTCGTAAGAGGCGACTAACGGGATCGGGTGGTCAGACTCGCTGACTTGGTTGATGCATATCATCGATCCCAATTGCATGGATCGATGCTCATGGTATTAATCACTGGATTGTCTGGACCAGATTCGATTATTTACAGACCGCCGTCATATAGTTGGAATAGTGCCGAGGGCGGCTTTAAACAACAAACAATCAAGCAGACTTTGGAGATCTTGAAGTCCACAGCCTACCTCTCAACAGTGGCTAAGAGAGGACAAACAACCCCTAAGCTGACATATCCCCATGGCTGGCTGTTCCCGTTTGCTTGTTCCATTGGAAATATATCATTCACAACAGCACGGTCGCAAATTTTTAATTTTTTTTATCAACAGAGAATAGTTTGCAAACAGAAATATGCTGCCTGGTTGTGTATTTGGTTCAAATGCAGCCTGTAAGCATTGGAGGTATTGTACTTAATACATACGAACGTAATTGGGTTAAGAACTTTTCAGCCACCCTCGTACCATGACATTTTGAAAGCTTGATGTAGACCTGGCATGGTGCAACAACGTTTGAGCAGGATCAACATGAGGCTACCGTCGCATACACACCAGCAGGCCAGGATCTATCACCAATGACTATGATATGAATAATTAAACCAACAATTTCATGGAAATTACGAAAATATTATTTATTTGAATACAGTTCAACAACAATTGGCATATACAGTGAACAGTGTTTAAAGCTTTATTTTTGTAACAAAATATGATACACTTTACAACGACCACATTAACATCCTTTATAAGATGAGTACGAACTAATTGTATGTACTTTAATATTGCGCAGACTGTCAAGATAAGTTTCGGTATACAGTATATAGGTAATATAGGCTCGCTAAATACAATGTTAATTCCTAATGCAGGATATTTACCCTCCCCAAACACACTAGCGTGATAACCTCTTTATCATATAATGTCATTCTTTAATTCTGTGCTTGGAAATCGCTTTCCCTCTCACAAACATTACCTAATAACTCACCCGATCAAACATTGGAGCAATGTGGCGTTACATATATTTCATTTTTTATCAGCAAAGTTTCCGATACTAAACTGCCGGGCGGAGGAAAGGATACACTCGGATATTGGACATAACCAAGAAATTAATACCGTTACTGAAACGACCCGTGACGATCGGGGTAGAAAAGGTCTTCAGCAACCCGTGCTTGCCGTAACAGGCGATTATGCTTGTCGTAAGAGGCGACTAACGGGATCGGGTGGTCAGGCTCGCTGACTTGGTTCATGCATGTCATCGTATCCCAATTGCGTAAAACGATCATAATGACGTCAATCACTGGATTGTCTAGTCCAGACTCGATTACAGACCGTCGTCATATGGCTGGAATATTGCTGAGTGCGGCGTTAAACAAACAAACAAACAAACACTAACATTTTACCGAGCAATCAAACGTCGAGATAGTAAAATATGAATTGGTAAGGGAGGACTTGCCACCGTCAGTTATAATGGACAATAACATATCCTTTCAATTAAAAGCATTTGCACACTAAACAACAAACAAACAAAACAAACATTGTCAGATGATGATTATGCAGGTCCACACACCAGCCAGGTGTATTTCCACAGATTGTTTGTTTATTTTTTTAGTGACCATCAAACATGGGTGTATAATTTCTTTGCCGGGCAGTTTAATTATACATTGACAGAAGATCAAGTTGTATTTTCGGAATGAATCTTGTCAAAATTATATCGTAGACAGGTTCTAATGTCATGTACGTGTCTCTTTCATTTCTTTTATTTACTTCCATCTCTTTGGCAAGATATAAGTGAGTGAGTGAGTTGGGTTTACGCCGCTTTTAAAATTAGGGCAAGTTATAAACAGACACAGCGGTCTTCTATATGAGTTACGGCTGTGACCGATTTGATTGCGTATTTGGTCTCAGGTTGAATGTGACGTCACAGTCTGTTGATTGTCGTGTGTTTCCCCCACCGTAGCGTCCATTAATACAGGTTGCCTGGGTCACACTGGTACAGCGATAACTGAAACAGCACACATTTATTTTAGGGAACTTCGGTTATGCCTCAGACAAACACCCGGAACACAAGCATCGTTTACTTTATATTCCCATATAAAAATATATAAATTAGACAGTTATTAAATCGAGAGAAATTGCTTATGTTCACAACATGACATAGTCATTATGAAATACAGAAATTGAATGTTTCAAGCACCAGTTTGACTTTACCAATGTGTTTACATTCTAATCTTTTTCCAACTAAAACACAACCTTTCACACAGTGCACACAAGGCCAGGGCAACACAGTTCATAACAATCAAATCCAATTAAAAAAATCGACATCTGAACATTGTCCTGGAATGTATGCCTAATAAGTGTTCATTTCCAAATTGGGAAATACAGTTTTTCGTGTAGTGTCAAATAGAAAGGCTATATTATTGACCAATACGCCACACATGAAATACATTATTTCCTTCATTGTTGCATAGAGAGGATATATTCCTGATATACCACACATGAAATATATACCTGATCAAGCTGCCCAATGAAGTTGTTGGTAGCATCGTTCTTGGAGTCTGTTCCGAATGTCAGGGCACACTGCATAATGGTTGACTGTGGCGCTGAAATAACAATTTTTTTCTTTAAGTTTATGTCATTTTTCTTTATTCCAGTGTTGCATCATAATTTAATCAGATAACAATGCGACAGCTTTTGTCCGATGTTGTTGATGTTAAGATATAAGTACACTATGGGCATAAGCTCTCGATGACCCCTTGAAAATTCGGCTTAGAACCGATCTTCAGCAACCCATGCTTGTCGTAAGAGGCGACTAACGTGACCAGGTCGTCAGGCTCGCTTACTTGGTTGATGCATGTCATCATAGCCCAATAATGTAGACAGATGCTCATGGTGTCAATCACTGGATTGTCTGGTCCAGACTCGATTATTTACAGATCGACGTGCGGCGTAAAATAGGAAACAAACAAAACAAATCTCTCAATGATAATCGACTGAAGTCAACAATATATGCCTCATTTGACACGTTTCCTCTATTGTCAGAATTATGTCCAGTCTTTTCGTGCGACACTGTTATCTCCCAGGGGACAGCCAGTCCACCTCACCCCTCGTGGATCACCACATTAAAGCATTTATACAACCCTACACGTCTATCCTTCCTTGTATATTTTCTCATACGATTGTAAGTCAAATCCTTTTCACGAGAGGGGGGAACCCGTGAAGATCCGGGGTAGAATAGGTCTTCAGCCACCCATGCTTGCCGTAAAAGGCGACTATGCTTGTCGTAACTAACGGGATCGGGTGGTCAGGCTCGCTGACTTGGCTGATGCTTGTCATCGATCCCAATTTCGTGCTCCAAACATGTGAATCACTGGATTGTCTGGTCCAGACCGACGTTATAGCTGGAATATTGCTGAGTGCGGCGTAAAACAACAAGAGGTTGGTACGGGTGGTCCAATGGTCTCAGGCGCCGCAAATCGCTGTGCAGCGTTGCCTCCCTTGGGCACACCAGAAATCTAGGATTCGAAACCCAATTCCCCCTGATTATATTTTTTGGTTTAGCAGAACAATACTTGTGCTCTTGGGTTTCACCAAAGTGCTAAACATCTGAGACCGCATCACTTCAGGCTCACTCCAACATTAAGCGGACACGCCAAGATAATTTGAATGCTGTTAAAAACAGCGTTAATCCTAACTCACTCACTCATTTTTCAGGAGAACGTAATTTCAATCCCATTGTTCCTCCTACATTAAGATTACAAAGCGGCGTTTAACCCCACTCACTCACTCACTCACTCACTCACCCCAATCCCGTTGATGTGATTAGCTACTGGCTACTCACCGTGAACCTTGGCAGCATACTTCAGCGTGGCACTCTCCACTACAGCCAACATGTCATAGCCCGCGTACGAAAATGTCACCGTCTTCCAGTCGTCACGGGAGAAGCCCTACAGTAGAGAGTCAGTATCATAGAAAAGCAGAAATGGTCGAAAACCCGGACATTTTACGGAACAACCAAATTTTATGTTTTTCTGTTCCTTAAGGTATAGTTATGGTACACACAAAACCTAGACAAATTCAGACTAGCATTCTCCCTCATGGAACATTTAAGAGTGTCTTAGACGTGTAAGTGGTCCAAAGCGAGGAAAATCAATTTGATTTACAACGCTACTCGGTCCAACGGATCAATCAGAATGCGAGTTACAAACCAGCGTCAATGTTCCGTTGACGATATCAATAACATGGCGGCCAGTCCCATTGATTACGACAGATTGTGAGATATTCAACATTGAAAAACTGACTGACACGCAACAGAAAGCCATGAAAAATGCTTTTAATTGAAAGGATATGTTATTGTCCATTATAACTGACGGTGGCAAGTCCTCCCTTACCAATTCATATTTTACTATCTCGACGTTTGATTGCTCGGTAAAATGTTAGTGTTTGTTTGTTTGTTTGTTTAACGCCGCACTCAGCAATATTCCAGCCATATGACGACGGTCTGTAATCGACTAGACAATCCAGTGATTGACGTCATTATGATCGTTTTACGCAATTGGGATACGATGACATGCATGAACCAAGTCAGCGAGCCTGACCACCCGATCCCGTTAGTAGCCTCTTACGACAATCATAGTCGCCTTTTACAGGCAAGCATGGGTCGCTGAAGACCTATTCTGCCCCGGATCTTGACGGGTCTAAAATGTGAATGAAAAACAAGGGCGTGGGAGTGGATCCTGGGGTCAGTGTAGGTTCACCGAAATGCGAGTCCTGGAGATATTGAGGGTGGATGAAACATTGAACATTTATAGTTTTGAATGACCTACCGCCATGGACACAGGTAATGTGACTGCCCAGTTATACCAAGACGTCAGTTCAAAGGTCATGGTGTAACTGTCCACAGCAATGACCAAGCTGCTGCCATTCTTACAGTCACTTGTGCTGACCAGCACTCGACGTCCGAACACAGCGCCAGATTCACGATACCGGAAGCGGATGATCAAAGGGTTAGCGGTTGACGCAGTTGGCATGGTGACTGTGGCTACAAGCCGACTGCTGCCGTTGAAGTTGGCGATTCCGTTGGAAACCTCGACATTAGAGAGTTCAAGCCATGATGCTAGGGCTGACGTTAAGCTACTTCCCGCGGTGAAGGTGACAGCGTTGGAGGCCGAACAGGCTGTCAGAAACAAATACGTTACCAGTGAACATAGTGAATACCTTGGTGATGGGGGTCATACAGACTGTCAGAAACGAAGATCTTACTAGTGAACACAGTGAATAGCTAGTGGATGGGGACGTGTGATTCAAGAACAGCGACAAGGCGCCTTTAAGGATAATGAATGCAGCACAGACTGGTGTCTCACTTCGAATCTCACCAATAAAACAGGTGCTTGCAATCTTCACAGGCTTTTGTATCTAGCAAGGTAGCAAGAATACATATTTTAGTATTTGAATAGTTCCAAATGTAGCATGACCAAATTAATACATGCATATATAGGTAAATTATGTCCCTTTAGTCATGGTAACATATTTTGTTGCCAACAATAGAACTGTTGATGATATCTTTACGATAGAAAGCTATGTTACATTGGTTGAGAGCACTGCAGCCACAGTTGGTGATGTCGAATTGAGTTCCGGCAGCACATGAGGTGGGTACCCAGCCGAGAATGCCGACAGACATGTTGTAAGTGGCTGGGTTGGCGCTCCAGTCGGGCCGCTTGTCGCAGAGATCTGAAATACAACAGCACAAATGACAACGCATGAAAACTCATGAATGGACTGGAAAACAGATAACAGGGTCGCCGAAATTTATGCGAATTGTTGCATCGTGTTGTTAAGTATGGTTTGTCTGTCTGTTTGTCTCCAACTCGTTCTCTCGCCTTCTCTCTATCGGTCTGTTTACCGTCTCTCGTTCTCTCGCCTTCTCTCTATCGGTCTGTCTCACTGTCTCTTGTTCTCTCTCTCTCTCTCTCGGTCTGTCTCACCGTCTCTTGTTCTCTCTCTCTCTCTCGGTCTGTCTCACCGTCTCTCGTTCTCTCTCTCTCTCTCTCTCTCTCTCGTTCTGTCTCACCATCTCTTGTTCTCTTGCTTTCTCTCTATCTGTCTGTCTCACCGTCCTCTCGATCTCTCGCCTTCTCTCTATCGGTCTGTTTACCGTCTCTCGTTCTCTCGCCTTCTCTCTATCGGTCTGTCTCACTGTCTCTTGTTCTCTCTCTCTCTCTCTCTCTCGGTCTGTCTCACCGTCTCTTGTTCTCTCTCTCTCTCTCGGTCTGTCTCACCGTCTCTCGTTCTCTCTCTCTCTCTCTCGTTCTGTCTCACCATCTCTTGTTCTCTTGCTTTCTCTCCATCGGTCTGTCTCACCGTCCTCTCGATCTCTCGCTTTCTCTCTATCGGTCTGTCTCACCGTCTCTCGTTCTCTTGCCTTCTCTCTATCGGTCTGTCTCACTGTCTCTTGTTCTCTCTCTCTCTCTCGTTCTGTCTCACCGTCTCTTGCTCTCTCTCTCTCTCTCTCTTGTTCTGTCTCACCGTCTCTTAGTCTCTCTCTTTCTCTCTCTCGGTCTGTCTCACTGTCTCTTGTTCTCTTGCTCTCTTTCTCTATATATCTCTCTCTCTCTTGTTCTGTCTCACCGTCTCTTGTTCTTTCGCTTTCTCTCTATCGGTCTGTCTCACTGTCTCTTGTTCTCTCTCTCTCCTATCTCTCTATCTCTCTCTCGTTCTGTCTCACCGTCTCTTGTTCTCTCGCTTTCTCTCTATCGGTCTGTCTCACTGTCTCTTGTTCTCTCTCTCTCTCTCTCTCGGTCTGTCTCACTGTCTCTTGTTCTCTCTCTCTCTCTCTCTCTCTCGGTCTGTCTCACTGTCTCTTGTTCTCTCTCTCTCTATCTCTCTCTCTCTCTCTCTCTCGTTCTGTCTCACTGTCTCTTGTTCTCTCTCTATCGGTCTGCCTCACGGTCTCTTGTTCTCTCTCTCTTGGTCTGTCTCACCGTCTCTCGTTCTCTCTCTCTCTCTCTCTCTCGTTCTGTCTCACCATCTCTTGTTCTCTTGCTTTCTCTCCATCGGTCTGTCTCACCGTCTCTTGTTCTCTCTCTCTCTCGGCCTGTCTCGCCGTCTCTTGTTCTCTCTCTCTCTATCGGTCTGTCTCACCGTCTATCGTTCTCTCGCCTTCTCTCCGTCGGTCTGTATCACCGTTTTCTCGATCTCTTGCTCTCTCTCTATCGGTCTGTCTCACCGTCTCTCGTTCTCTCGCTTTCTCTCTATCGGTCTGTCTCACCGTCTATCGTTCTCTCGCTGACTCTCATACCTAACCACTGACATACGAGTGCAAACCTACTAACCTCTGTCTTCACATGCAGTGGGACACAGATCCCGACAGAAGAGGTTAGGCTTGCATCCCTCGCGATGCACATAGCTGTATCCCACGCTGCAACACTTGGGCACTGCCACGAAGTTAGTGTCACACTCCCAGTATGCACGGCAGCTGCCCAGAAGGTTGAAGGTCGCAGTGCTGTTGTCCTTGCACTTATCTGTAGAGAGAATGTGCTTGTGTTACAATACTGTGCTTAACATGTGGTGCTGTCGCCCTTGTCCTTGTTAAGGCGATCTTTCCAAACAGTCACAACAATGGGACGAGATTTAACTGATCAACGCACGCTCTGGATTGGCCCCGCAAAGATCCGGGTAAGAATAGGTTTTCAGGAACCCATGCATACTGTAAAGGGCGACTATGCTTGTCGTAAGAGGCGACTAACAGGATCGGGTGGTCGCTGACTTGGTTGATGGATGTCATCGTACCCCAGCCGCGTAAATCGATGTTCATTACATCAGTCACTTGATTGTCTGGTCCAGACCCGATTATTTACAGACCACCGTCATATAGCTAGAATATTGCTGAGTGCGGGTTTAAACAACAAATTTCTGAGTGACTTTCTTGTTATCTGTTAGTGTAACACTAAGGGAGCATCCTTGTATTGCGGTGTGGGGGATTTATTTGAAATAAAAAATAAATTGCCGAGCTGTATCCAACAAACTATTTATTTTCTGAGCACCATCAAACAACCTATTCATTTGCACTATTAACACAATAATAATTGTTTCACCATTGCCAACAAAGTAATCATTTTGTGCGTATTTCTGAACAAACTATTCATTAGAAAACTCTTCAAACCATCACATCGAAATCAATGGATGCTTTCTGACACTTTTAGGTTGCTTGAACGTCTTGATGGACATGAGAACTGCTATTTTAAACATATGCCTTTCTTTCTATGCTTGAGACTCTGTCCCAGGGAAGTCTCACCGTGGTACTGGACTGTATGCTTTCAACTGACCTGCTTTAAGATTTGAGAATACGCTTGCTTACCGTGTGGACACACAACCCTCCAGGATTCGTCACATTGGAATGTGACTTGGTTCCAGAATTTACCAAACGGACATCTCCTGTACATAGCAACAACGTTGCCACTGGGGTTGTTGTAGCACTGGATGTACTTGTCGCAGTCAGTAGGGTGGTAGCGGTAGCCAATGCCGTCTCGATACGTTACTGACGTACAGAGCCCTGTTGAGGAGCCAATAAGTTCTATCATACATGCATGCAATAAAATATAATTATCCACTTATCAAATTCGTCTTAACATACATGCTTGCAATAATAGATACTAATCCACTTATCAAATGCGTCTTAACATACATACATGCAATGATAGATACCTATCCACTTATCAAATGCGTCTTAACATACATGCATGCAATAATAGATACTAATCCACTTATGAAATGCGTCTTGACATACATGCATGCAATAATAGATAATAGATAGATGGAGCACAGTCTCCTAAAACAGTGGAAGTCCATACCTCCACATTCTGGGAAGCTGCAAGGTGTTGATATTGTCTGCAAGACATCCCCGAAACAGCCGTTGCCCCCGTTACTTGGAGGGGGGTTTGTACACGACCGTGACCTCCTCCTGACAACGCTCGGCCCGGCTCCGCACGTGACGCTACACGGAGGTCCTGTCCACTCCGTCCATTGCGTGAAACTGCCATTTACTGGAACTGAACATGTGTAAGATGATTACGACGCATCCTTGCTTAATGTATACTCTCTTCACTGAAAAAGCAGGTTGAAGGCTATAGGAAGAGACAAAACATCAAAAAACGATTTTCCATAAGGTAAAATTTGTTGGGTTTTATTGTTTTATAACGCTGCACTCAGCATTATCCCAGCTATATGACGGCGGTTGGTCTGAAAATAATCGAATCGGGACCAGACAATCCAGTGAGTGATATCACGAGCATCGGTCAACGCGAGTTTTGGATACGATGACATGCATTAACGAAAGTCAGCGAGTCTGACCACCCGAACCCGATAACCATCTTGCTGAAGACCTATTCTAACACCTACCAGACATAAAGCCTTTTTGGTCGTCGCTTATTAATATATGGAGCACAGATTTAATTCTTTTGGAGATAGCAAGAGAAGCTATTTTGTAAAAAACTGAAAAAAGTGAGATAGATCTCCAGTTTTTCAAAAACATATTTGGTTTGTTACCTTTTGGAATGCAAGTAATAAGTCCCCTTTTTAGAGTTAAGGACAATTCTCCTTTATCATATGATTGATTTATAGATCGGATTAAAAAATTGTTGATATCTGACCAAATCTTTTAAAGAAATTCAGCAGTAAAACCATCGGAACCGGGGCTTTTATCATTTTTCAAACACTTCAGTAGTTCTTCATATTCAAGTTTGCCTTCTAGTGATGATGATAAGGTTTTATCCAGCTTAGGCACTTTACAATCCTTCAATAAATGTTCAAGATCAACATTACTATCATCATTTTTCGTATGATAGTTTGGAATAGAATTTTCTAATTTCTTCTTGAATTTCCTGCTGATTTGTAAAAACATCTCCATACTCGTTTTGCAGACAAGAGAAAGATTTATTTAGGAAATTTCTAGTCTCTAACAATAAGAAATATTTGGTTGGTTTTTCCCCCTTTTCGACTGCGTTTACTTTTGCCTTTATCATAAGCCCTTGCGTTTTGATCTTATTAATATATTCTTATTTTTCATTTATTGTATCAATTTCCTTTAGTATCTCAGATTTGGCTTCAATGTCGTTAGTCGCATCCATGTCCTCGGTTAACTGATTAATCTTAGATATGAGTATATTCGACAAAACTAGCTTGCTTCAATGGAGATGGTTGGCGCCATGTGTATCTTTTTTCATTCGGGTATCTCTCTCGCCAAGGGTCAACTAAGTCAATTTCATCTTTTAATTTCATTATTCTATCTCTCGCCTTTGGATTATTATTGTGTTTATAATTGAAGGTGTCAAAGTAATAATTTTGAACTACATTCCAATCCCCAAAGATAATTATATGATCGCTATTTAGTGATTTTATCGCTGTTTCAAGATCGTTGTAAAAGGTAGGGTCGTCAACATTCGTACCATACAGGTTGTTGATAGCTAATGGTGCTCAAATATTTGTTAGTGGCACTAGGCCCAGCGGTACATAAGCACGCACCTTGGTATTAAACACTAATGTAATAACAGCTTGGTCTTATTAAACAGTGGTATCTTCAAAGGGGCGAGTTATAAACCTAAATGATATATACCCTTCCGTGTAATCTAACACAATCACAAATTTGAACATTAAATGAATATGAAACATTCAATAGGCCATCAATGCTGAAACTAGAGAACTTTCTTACAAAATAATGATATAATCCTAACAATGCAGAAGGTTGCACGTTGTTCCTAGAAACTGAGCATATACAATAGGTTGTCCGTACCGATACAAGGGACGTTATCACATGTCTTCTTCACTACCCCCAGCAGAGCTCCAGTACAGTTCAGACCGCCATTACTGGAAGGTGGGTTGGTGCAGGTCCTGGTTCGAGTCCGAATCACACACGCGCTGCTGCAAGGGGGGTTGGTCCACTCGGTCCAGAGGGTCAGGCCACCATCCACTGGGGACAAAGATAAATAACATGCTCACATTATCCTGTCTTGCTTGAAACATCTCGCTATGGTGGTATATTAAAGAAAGTTATATCCATATATTGTGTCTACTTGAGACTTGCTTGAGACGGGTATACAGGTCTATCAGAAACATTGCTATGATAGTATATTAAAGTAGTTGTTATCCATAAATTGTCTCCTTTGTCATCCGCCAACTTCTAAGTAATGCCTATCAAACAAATAAACTCCACACTGTCACCGCCGGTGTTATAGATTATGAACCATATGTTGCTGATTGTGGCGCACCAGCATTAATCTACGCACGTGGGATCAACCAAGTCAGCGACCCTGGCCACCCCGTCCCAAAAGTCACCTTTTACAACAAGCATGGGTTGATGAAGACCAATTCTAACCCGGATCTTCAAGGTGGCACAAGTGTATAGTACGTTGAGTCAAATGCCATGAAACACTATGAGTGAGAGAGTATTGTTTTATGCCGCTTTTAGCAATATTCCAGTAATATCACGGCGGAGGGCACAAGAAATGGGATTCACACATTCTACCCATGTCGGGAATCGAACCCAGGTCTCCGGCGTGACGAGCGAACGCTAAACCACAAGGCTACCCGACCTCCCCCGAAGCACTATGAAGCATCTGAAGCAAATGAGTTACATAATATGATGCAATTCCTCAACAAATACACACCTGGACAAGCACGGAAGACACACCGGGTACTCGATGTTTCAAGCGTGTTACCGAAGCATTGTTGTCCGCCGTTACTGGCAACGGGATTGGTGCAGCTTCTGGTTCGTGACCTGACAAGGCTGTTGGTGGAGCCACAGGTGATACCACAGGCAGGATTCGTCCATTGAGTCCACTGAGTCAAACCACCATTAACTGTAAACATTGTGAGTGTGTAAGTTGCCTATTACTTTGCTACTCGCCACAGGTCTGTATGATAAGAGGGATCACTCCAACTTTCAAATAGTCAACTTTCCCTTTTTTTTCACTCTGAATCTTTTGCATAGATCTAAATACAAAACATATGAGTCAGTTTCACTGGTCTCTAGACAAGATTGTTACGACACATTAGACGACTGGACCCATCGTGCCCCCTGTTGTGAAGATGGTGAAAAGTACATCTTACAAAGAGTCCAGTCCACACACTGTCGCCATTGGTTCAAGAATCTTTGAAACGTTGAACGTACCAACACAAGGGGAGAAAGCACATGCTTTCTGTGCAGTCTCCACAAAAGGCCCATTACAGGCAAGTCCACCATTGCTCGCGGCAGGGTTGCTGCAGCTTCTACTTCTTGTGCGCAGGACATCGGTTCTTGTTCCACAAATGATGCCACAAGGAGGCTCGGTCCACAAGGTCCATTGTGTGAGGCCACCATTCACTGGCGCAATGAAAGAATATGTATTAATCTATTGACTAAACATTCCAGGTTTGCAATGGACGTCCTAGCTACCATTAGAATTAAAATATGTCTGTATTCTATAGTTACAATGAATTATGTAAGCTGTATGTCTCTCATTGTACTTCTAAGGGAAGACGTCAGTGACGTCATGCAGAGAGAGATAGCACACCAACAATCGAACGAGTGTATGGGACTAGAGACACAAGTGAACACAGGAAACAACAATCACCAACAAACGCCGTGCTATTTAAACAACCTCTCACCTGGACAGGGACTAAAGACACAAGTCTGAATCAACGTCTGAACTCGATCTCCAGTGCAGGATTGGCCTCCGTTACTGGCTACAGGATTTGTGCAGCTTCTGAACCGTGACCTAACAACACTGTTAGTGGAACCACAGCTGATGCCACAGGTAGGGCTAGTCCATTGACTCCACTGGGTGAATCCTCCATTGACTGGAAATGATTGTTGTGATTTTAAAAATATATTGTCCATATATATATTGTCTAAATCCACACCTTAAGTCACACCCAAAGCTCCAATATAGTTATGTACCATCACATTTTGTGTTGCATTAGTAATTCGAGATGTTCTTTTTATACTCTGCCACAAATATATTTTTGATGGACACAGTCATATTCATGATTACATGTTTTATTAATTTGACAAAGATACACTCAGGCATCAAATGTTTTTTTCAAATGTTGTACAGATATATTGCTGACTTAAATAAGACGTGTCACTAGAACTTTACAAAGAGCAAACAAATTGTTAATTTAATTAATGAATTTACAATAATGAAAGTTTGCATTAAAAAAAACTTCCAATTCCTGTTGGGTGCATGCATCTTTCTCACAATAAAACTTGCAATATTTCAAGTTATAAGACTTGTGTGAAAATCTTCTCCAGTAACAACAGAAGAAATCGAGAATACATCATCCTTTGGATCTTACCGGCACAGGGTGAGAATGAACATGTCTGGGCTAAAACCTGAACGAAAGGACCATTGCAGACTTGTCCTCCGTTAGCTGGAGCAGGGTTGGTGCAGGTCCTGACCCTTGTTCTGCTGACAGAGGCTCCCACCCCACACGTGATGCCACACCCGGGATTGGTCCACGTGGTCCACTGGGTCAGCCCACCATTCACTGGGGCTAATATCAAAGAGACATGACGATTAAATTGAATTCTATTTTTCTTTAAGACACAGCTGTTATCTGGTATCTGGAGATTATTTGTTACGAATGGACAGTTTATCTTCAAATTCTCAGCTCATGAACATATATTACAAATGTACCGGCTACAACTATAAATGGCACAAAATACAAGTAGAGTACGAATATACGGGTTAATTTAAATGAAGCTCGGATATCGAAGCATGAAGTTTCATGTATTACGAATGTGCTGCTTGAACGATCCGTGCTGCATATTTGTGCTGTATTTGATTTCAGACGGTATCTGTTTACGCAATATTTGTTACTTTTCTGCGGTATTCTAAGTCAGATAGTGCACGCGTTAGTGGACATTCCTTACAAATCCAATTTGCTGGCTCGTACAGTATTTATAACGAATGTACAGTTACTTGTGTGTTATCCTTGACTCAAGGTTTGGCAATAGTATGTTATTAGATCCCTATCCCTAGATGTTCACGTATCATACATTCAATATCTAGCTTATCATAGTGTAACACATTAACACAAATAGGTGTTTACCTTGGCAGGCACTAAAGACACAAGGCTGAGACAACGTTTCAATAGTATTTCCAATGCACTGTTGTCCACCATTACTGGCAAAGGGGTTGGTGCAGCTTCTGGTTCGTGACCTGACAAGGCTGTTGGTGGAGCCACAGGTGATGCCACAGGAAAGGGTGGTCCATTGAGTCCATTGGGTGAATCCTCCGTTGACAGCGACTGGAAATATTTCATATTTCTATATTGATTCCATTCGGCAGAACTAGCATTTACTGAAACTGTTGGACAACAGTCATGTCTCTACCATAGCCATAAGATATACACACTGTTCGAAGATATGTGATCTTAAAAGTGTAAATTGATTTACATGTCAAACGGAACATGGCATAATTGTCAATACGAACAATACCCTTTATGTTGTCATTAGTCATTTAATGTTATAACAGTTTGGCATAATCTTGTGAGTTATCTTCTTACATCACTTACCAACACAAGGAGTGAAATCACAGCTTTTTGGCAAAATATCTATGATAGGACCGGAACAGGGTGTCCCTCCATTGCTGGGGGCAGGGTTGGTGCAGCTTCTGGTTCGTGTGCGTATTTCAGTCCTTCTTCCACAGGTGATGCCGCACGGTGGGTTGGTCCACTGAGTCCACAGTGTGAAGCCGCCGTTCACTAGGAAGTACATGCAGAAGCTATTTACTACAAAGTTGGTTTACCTTTCGTTGTAATACGTGTACATACAACTCAAAAGATTTAAGGAACACCCGATACTTTCATATGACTACAGTAAATCTGCCATGCCACTACAGTTATATGAAAGAATTGGGTTGTCCTTAACTTTGTTTTCGTTGTAGATCTCCAATAATCCAGATGGTACATTTTACAATGAGTGAGTGAGTATGGATGTATGCCGCTCTTAGCAATTTTCCAGCAATATCACGGTGGGGGACACACATTGTACCAATGTCGGGAATCGAACCCGAATCTTCGGCGTGACAAGCGAACGCTCTTATCACCAGGATACTCATCCGCCCCACCTTTTAAAGAGGAATCATCCAATTTAACGATTTTAAAGAAAATATGTCAATGCAAATATCGTTGGTCCAAACAGACGTCATGCGGAACTTGTGATTAATGATGAAATGATGTTATTAGCCAAATATATCACTGCGCTACCGTGCAAATGTAAATGATGCAACAAAGACAAAAACCTTTCCATAATCATAAGAGTCATTAGAGTCCATTGTCCGAATCCCTACAGCCTAAGGATGTGATGAAAGTGATGATACAAGATGTTCGAGGGAGGATGCACCCCATCCACGCCCCCTCACCTATGACAAGCATGTCTACTGAAATTAACTTGATTAAACTTACATTAGAAACTTTGAACGAATAACGGGATACATTAGGAGGAGACCCAGCATCACCATTCACGAACTAACAAAAGCGCCAATCTTCAGCACACATGTCGTAAGAAGCGACTAACGGGATGTCATCATATCTCAATTGATTACATCGATGCTCATAATGCCAATCCCTGGATTGTTTGGACCAGACCTGATTATTTACAGACCGCCGTCATGCTCGATTGCTGAGTGCAGCGTTTAACACAAACAAACAAACCTTGTGGAAAATCGTTTTAAGAAGTTCTGTCTCTTTCTTTTGCCAACAACCGGCTTTTTCAGTGAATATGGTATACATCAAGCAAGGATGTTTCGTAATCTTTTTCGTTAAACACAAACAAACAAACAAACGAACCAGTGCAAGCAGCAAAGTCACAGTTTCTCGGTTCGACCTCAACTAAAAGACCAGTGCAGCCTTGTCCTCCATTGCTGGGAGGAGGGATGGTGCAGCTCCTGGTCCGTGTTCGTGTCAAGTCAGTTCTTGTTCCACAACTGATGCCGCAAGGTGGATTAGTCCACTGTGTCCAGAGCGTCAGGCCACCGTTCACTAGACATGACAAACATGTTGTTTGTATAGAAACGTTCTGAGAATAATTGTGGGTCAGGCCCCCGTCCACTAGACAATGACAAACATACTGCTTGCTTCAGAGTATTATTGTAGGTCAGGCCACCGTCCACTATGCAAATAAGAAAGATGTTTATTGTTATTTAAATCATGTGGATTAGAGTACATTATCTGTTCCCCACTACCTTCTGACCAGCATCATGTCGCAGTGACATTGTCAAATTAGGATTATAATCCGAGATAGGAAACTTATAGGTCCATCTGTGTAATATGTATGCTTTTGTGTATGCTCTGTCGAATCTGTAAGTATATTCTAATGATTTAATGCATCTTATGTTGTTTTTGTACAAAAGTAAAAGCAATTCGAGAGTACAGTCCAATATACTTAAATCAAATACAACACACAACAATGAATACGTTCTCCAACATGTTTCATTCTTATCAGTGAGTGAGTGAGTTGGGTTTAACGCCGCTTTTAAAAGTATTACAGTTATATCGCGGTATGTCAGCTAAATGTGGGCCGAAAGCCGAAAGTGATGTAGGTCTCAGACCTTTATGATTTCGGTGAAACCCATGAGCACGGGTATGGTGCTGACAAACCGAGAAATATAATCGAACCAGCATTCGAACCCATCCTTATTCGTTTCAACAGACCGGGGCACCGTGAGTATGATTTACATCAAGGCAGATGAATTAAAACAAAAAATAAATAACAAGTTTGCTGTCTTCAAGGAGTCTAATTGTAAAATGTGCTTGCTTTCGAGTGTACATAGAGGTTATCACGCGAGTGTGTTTGGGGATGGTAAATATAAATATTGTATTTAGCGAGCCTTGGCGAGCTAAATACATAGTGTTTATTCCTAATAAACATAAAAAATGCCAAATGCCAAAACATAAAACATTCCTTAGCTACGTCACAGTTAGACACTGATTTTCAGTATATTAGACTGCTCTTTTGATAATGATAGCATTTATCCCAGTAGTATCCTGATTCCCGACTCGATCGCCGAATAACGAGGGCGATGCCATGTTTTTTTATAAACAGTGAAAGTAGTCCCTACTTGACCTTTGATATTTGCATCACTATCCGCATGTGACCCCAACGGATATCGTTTTTATCCGTTGGCTTTATCCTGCCGAGAAACCTACCCATTATATGATAAAGTCCAATATGTTCACAATTAAGAACAAAACACAACGCTGCACACTTTATCTGGGGACAGGGACACCGAGTTTGATTGCCACGAAGGCCGAAACATACATGTAATCATGATTCAGATGAATTCAGATGAACGCAAACAAATCTTAAATGATAAACATGGCTGTCGTCATACAATCTTCAGTAAAATGGTAGAAGTATTTTCTTTATCTGATAAGAAGGGGCATTTGGTGTCTTGGTCTTTTTGTGCCACTGCTTCCAGGTATATTGTCACGACATCCAGCGTGCCACCTGATAGAAATAATGTTTTCCACTATTCTTTTTGTAACAAGAAGTGTCAAGTGGTTTGTCCCTATGAAATACACAAACTCACCCGGGCACCCTGGGAAGACACACGTCTTGACAAATGTTTCAACACTATCCCCGGAGCACTGTAGGCCGCCATTAGTGGGGATGGGGTTGGTGCAGCTTCTGGTCCTTGACCTCAACACACTGCTGGTGGAGCCACAGGTGATGCCACAGAAAGGGTTAGTCCACTGCGTCCACTGAGTGAATCCTCCATTGACAGGGACTGGAAATATATTTATTGACGTATGAAAGGGCTTTGTTATTGCATGGATGCTTACGATAAAGAAAGCTGCATCCAAAAATATCACTCAAAAGAGGTTAAGGAACACCCGATATTTCATATGACTATACAGTTAATGTTTCATGGCCATAGACATAAGAAAACATCAGGTGTTCTTGAACTTCATTTGAATAGTACATTTTGTATATACCTGTTCATGTTACATAAGCCTTGATTCTATAGCATACAAAAAAAGAAGCAAGTATCTTTGCAACTAGTGGTCGGTGTAAGTACGACACAAGAGGATGCACGTTACGTTCCACTCCAGTTGCAAAATAATCTCCAGCACCTACTGGTTGGTGTGTTCCAACACAACGCCGAGTCTCCACAAGATCAGTGCAACAATGGTGATTTCGAAATCGTTGTGGTTTGTCAGCACCAGAACCAGCTCTCAAGTTTACAGAATCGGTTGAACATACGACACACGGAGAAAGTGTAAGACAGAGTATTGATATCAGCAAAAACTTCAACACTACCATACCATACTCATGGCAGGAAGACCGTTGAACCTTCTGGTTCGCTAATGTCGTACAAGACCACATTGTTTATACATTATTTTAGAAATGCATCCAATCCGAGTTCGAATCCAAGAATCACCTTCTGTCAGCACTAAGAGGGCACGGGTGGCCCATTCGTCTAAAACGCTGCCCTTCGCTGTGCAGAGTTGCGTCCCTTGGGCACGCCAGAAACCTATGATTGTGGGTTCGAATCCCGGCTCGCCCCGATTATGTTTCTAGGTTTGTCAGCACCATACCCGTCCTCGTGGGTTTCAACGAAGTTGTAAACGTGTGAGACCTGCATCACTTGGGGCTTTCCTCCCACATTAAGCTGACAAGCCGCGATATAACTGGAATATTGTTAAAAGCAGCATTTAACCCAACTCACACACTCACTATATTGACGCCTTTGACGTGTGTCCAATGAGTTCCTCCCGCAGTAAACTGATAACTCCTGATATAACAAACTACTTTTCAGATGGACGTAACACACAGCAAACGCACTACTACAGCGGCATTTAGCCCAACACTCTCGCTCAACTTACCGACACACGAAGCTTTAACTTCAACGAAGGGTCCGGTGCAGTTCAGTCCGCCATTGCTTGGGGCAGGGTTGGTGCAGCTTCTGGTTCTGGTTCTCACCACATCGTTCTTAGCTCCACAGGTCAAGTCACAAGGTGGTCCACTCCACTGGGACCATGGCGTCAAACCACCATTCACTGTCGACAATATACACAAATATCAACTCACCATTAACTGTCGAGATTGCACATAAATTTCAAGCCACCGCCCACTGTCGACAGTATATACAATTACTAAGATCTCGTTTAGGTATCGATCACTGGTTTGTCGACTCGATTTTTCACAGACCTCAGTCATACAGCAGGAATATTGCTGCGACGTATTAGTTAGGCTATAAACAATAAACAAACAAAGAAAAACTGTGTAAGCAGCCAGTGTATAACGGTGCATCGTACCAACACAAGCGGGGAAGAAACAGGTTTTCTGCAAAACCTCCACCAAAGACCCCGTGCAGTCACGTCCTCCATTGCTGGGGAGTGGGTTAGAACAGCTTCTGGTGCGTGTCCGCATGACATCTGATCGTTGTCCACACGTGATGCCACATGGTGGATCGGTCCACTGAGTCCAAGCTGTTAGTCCACCATTCACTGACGAAAAGACCACATTTACATCATGAAACCAGTAAACTGATTAACATTATTGTTGAAGAAACACACATATCCTGCAATTTATGTTCAGGATGTAAACGAGACAAGTACATTTTCCACATATAAAAGATACATTCCATGGTGTTTAGTTCAACTCACATTCTACATCAACAACAGGAGAGGTGGGATAATCTAGTCCTTAACGCTCGGCTCGCCACAGGAGAGGTAGGATAATCTAGTAAGGCGAGGCTCACCACAGGAGAGGTGGAATAATGTAGTTAGGCGAGGCTCGCCACAGGAGAGGTGGAGTACTCTAGTAAGGCGCGGCTCGCCACAGGAGAGGTTGGGTAATCTTGTAAGGCGAGGCTCGCCACAGGAGAGGTGGAATAACCTTGTAAGGCGCGGCTCGCCACAGGAGAGGTGGGCTAATTTAGTAAGGCGAGGCTCGCCACAGGAGAGGTGGGGTAACATGGTAAGGCGAGGCTCGCCACAGGAGAGGTGGGGTGATCTAGTATGGCGAGGCTCGCCACAGAAGAGGTGGGGTAACATAGTAAGGCGAGGTTCACCACAGGAGCGGTGGGGTAACCTCGTAAGGCGAGACTATCCACAGGAGAGGTGGGATAAGCGTGTAAGGCGAGGCTCGCCACGGGAGAGTTTGAATAACTCTGTAAGGCGGGGCTTAGCACAGGTGAGGTGGAATAACCTTGTAAAGCGATGCTCGACACTGGAGAGGTGGGGTAACATGGTAAGGCGAGGCTCGCCACTGGAGAGGTGGATAAACCATGTAAGGCGCGGCTTACCACAGGAGAGGCTGGATAACCTAGTAAGGCGAGGCTCACCACAGGAGATGTGGGATAAACTGGTAAGGCGAAGCATAAGTAATGCAACACTCTTTGATAGGAAACCATTTATTAAGATAACTTTGGAAAATGAATGACGCCAGTAGGATAAAAATAAATACATACTCAAGAAAATATGAGTTGACGAAAATAATAATATTTGATTAATGAAAGGATAAAGAGAAGAGAATGAAATAATATCGACCTTGACCCTCAACATGTTACACTAAAACACTCACCTTGACAAGCAGCGAAGCTACACGTCTTGACAGACGTCTGCACTACATCCCCAAAACATGGCAGTCCGCCATTACTGGGAACGGGGTTTGTGCAGCTTCTGGTTCGTGACCTGATGACACCGTTGGTGGAGCCACAGGTGATGCCACAGGAAGGGTCAGTCCATTCAGACCACAGGGAAAACCCGCCGTTTACAGGTCCTGTAATGCGTTTGGAAGAACTGTATACCAAGTCAGGTCTTTGTGTACCATGTCAGGTCTTTGTGCACCATGTCAGGTCTTTGTATACCATATCAGGTCTTTGTGCACCATGTCAGGTCTTTGTATACCAGGTCAGATCATTGTATACCATGTCAGGTCTCTGTATACCAGGTCAGGTCTTTCTATACCATGTCAGGTCTTTGTGTACCATGTCAGGTCTTTGTATACCAGGTCAGATCATTGTATACCATGTCAGGTCTTTGTGCACCATGTCAGGTCTTTGTATACCAGGTCAGATCATTGTATACCATGTCAGGTCCTTGTATACCATGTCAGGTCTTTGTATACCATGTCAGGTCTTTGTATACCATGTCAGGTCTTTGTATACCATGTCAGGTCTTTGTATATCATGTCAGGTCTTTGTATACCATGTCAAGTCTTTGTATACCATGTCAGGTTTTTGTATACCATGTCAGGTCTTTGTATACCATGTCAGGTCTTTGTGTACCATGTCAGGTCTTTGTGTACCATGTCAGGTCTTTGTATACCATGTCAGGTCTTTGTATACCATGTCAGGTCTTTGTATACCATGTCAGGTCTTTGTATACCAGGTCAAGTCTTTGTATACCATGTCAGGTCTTGGTATACCATATCAGGTCTTTGTATACCATGTCAGGTCTTTGTATACCATGTCAGGTCTTTGTATACCATGTCAGGTCTTTGTGTACCATGTCAGGTCTTTGTGTACCATGTCAGGTCTTTGTATACCATGTCAGGTCTTTGTATACCATGTCAGGTCTTTGTATACCATGTCAGGTCTTTGTATACCAGGTCAAGTCTTTGTATACCATGTCAGGTCTTGGTATACCATATCAGGTCTTTGTATACCATGTCAGGTCTTTGTATACCATGTTAGGTCTTTGTGTACCATGTCAGGTCTTTGTGTATCATGTCAGGTCTTTGTATACTATGTCAGGTCTTTGTATACCATGTCAGGTCTTTGTATACCATGTCAAGTCTTTGTATACCATGTCAGGTCTTTGTATACCATGTCAGGTCTTTGTATACCATGTCAGATCATTGTATACCATGTCAAGTCTTTGTACACAATGTCAGGTCTTTGTATACCATGTCAGGTCTTTGTATACCATGTCAGGTCTTTGTATACCATGTCAGATCATTGTATACCATGTCAAGTCTTTGTATACCATGTCAGGTCTTGGTATACCATGTCAGGTCTTTGTATACCATGTCAAGTCTTTGTATACCATGTCAGGTCTTTGTGTACCATGTCAGGTCTTTGTATACCATGTCAGGTCTTTGTGTACCATGTCAGGTCTTTGTGTACCATGTCAGGTCTTTGTGTACCATGTCAGGTCTTTGTATACCATGTCAGGTCTTTGTATACCATGTCAGGTCTTTGTATACCATGTCAGGTCTTTGTATACCATGTCAAGTCTTTGTATACAATGTCAGGTCTTTGTATACCATGTCAGGTCTTTGTATACCATGTCAGGTCTTTGTATACCATGTCAGGTCATTGTATACCATGTCAGGTCTTTGTATATAATGTCACTAAATCAGCAGTTATTAACCATCATCTCCCCTGGAATCCCCCTGGGCTCCCCTGCTCTCGACTAGTCACCCCTGGGCTCCCCTGGACTCCCCTGGACTCCCCTGGTCTCCACTAGTCTCCCCTGGACTCCACTAGTCTCCCCTGGACTCCTCTGGACTCCCATGGACTCTCCTGGGCTCCCCTGGTCTCCCCTGGTCTCCACTAGTCTCCCCTGGACTCCATAAGTCTCCCCTGGACTTCTCTGGACTCCCGTGGTCTCCCATGGACTCCCCTGGGCTCCGCTGGTCTCCCATGGTCTCCACTAATCTCCCCCAGACTCCCCTGGACTCCCCTGGTCTCCCCTGGTCTCCACTAGTCTCCCCTGGACTCCATAAGTCTCCCCTGGACTCCTTTGGACTCCCGTGGTCTCCCATGGACTCCACTAGTCTCCCCTGGACTCCCCTGGACTCCCCTGCTCTCGGCTAGTCTCCCCTAGTCTCCCTTGGACGCCCCTAGTCTCCCCTAGTCTCCCCTGGTCTCCACTAGTTTCCCCTGGATTCCCCTAGTCTCCCCTGGACTCCCCTTGTCGCCACTAGTCTCCTCTTGACTCCCCTGGTCTCCCCTGGTTTCCACTAGTCTCCCCTGGACTCATCTGGACTCCCATGGACTCCCATGGTCTCCCCTAGAGTCCCCAGTTTCCCCTGGATTCTGAATCTCCCCTGGTCTCCCCTGGTCTCCACTAGTCTCCCCCAGACTCCCCTGGACTCCCGTGGTCTCCCATGGACTCCACTTGTCTCCCCTGGACTCCACTAGTCTCCCTTGGTCTCCCCTGGACTCCCTGGTCTCCACTAGTCTCCCCCTGGTCTCCCACGGACTCCCTGGTCTCCCCTGGAGTCCCCTGGTCTCTCCGTAACTCCCATGGACTCCACTAGTCTCCCCTGGTCTCCCCTGGAATCCCCTAGTCTCCCCAGGAATCCCCATGACTCCTCTGGACTCTCCTGGACTCCCCTGGTCTCCCCTGGTCTCCCCGGACTCCCCTGGACTCCCCTGGACTCAACAAGTCCCCCCTGGACTCAACAAGTCTCCCCTGGACTCCCTGGTCTCCCCCTGGTCTCCCCTAGTCTCCCCAGGAGTCCCCGTGACTCCCCTGGGCTCTCCTGGACTCCCCTGGTCTTCCCTGGTCTCCACTAGTCTCCACTAGTCTCCCCTGGACTCCCTGGTCTCCCCTGGAACCCCCTGGTCTCTCCTGGACTCCCCTTGTCACCCCTGGACTCCCCTTGTCTCCCCAGGAGTCCCCTTGACTCCCCTGTACTCTCCTGGACTCCCCTGGTCTCCCCGAGTCTCCCCTGGTCTCCCTAGGAATCCACTAGTCTCCCCCTAGTCTCCACTAGTCTCCCCCTGGACTCTCATGGACTCCCTTGGTCTCCCCTTGACTCCACTAGTCTCCCACGGACTCCCCTGGTCTCCCATGGACTCCACTAGTCTCCCGTGGACTCCACTTGTCTCACCTGGACTCCACTAGTCTCCCACGGACTCCCCTGGACTCCCCTGGACTCCCCTAGTCTCCCCTTGACTCCCCTGGACTCCACTAATCTCCCCTTGACTCCACTTGTCTCCCCTTGACTCCCCTGGTCACCCCTGGACTCCCCTTGACTCCCCTGGTCTCCCCCTGAAATCCCCTAGTCTCCCCTTGACTCCTCTAGTCTCCACTAGTCTCCCCTGGCCTCCCTTGGTCTCCCTGGTCGTACCTACCCACGCAAGCAGACAGAACGTCCACAAACGACCCAGTACAGTTGCGTCCTCCACTGCTGGGAGCTGGGTTGGAGCAGCTTCTTGTTCGCGTCCGTATCACATCCGTTCTTGTTTCGCAGGCAACGCCACAAGGTAGACCAGTCCAGTCGGTCCACTGCGAGAATCCACCATTGACTATAGGACATTTTAAAAAATATGCGTACTATTATATAAAATGCCAAAGAACAATCAGTGTCAAGTAACTGTCGAGACAGATCCCACTGGGCGTAAAATGATTGTTTGTTTGTTTGTTTGTTGTTTAACGCCGCACTCAGCAATATTCCGGCTTTATGACGGCGGTCTGTAAATAATCGAGTCTGGACCAGACAATCCAGTGATTGACATCCACGCAATTGGGATCGATGATATGCATCAACCAAGTCAGCGAGCCTGATCACCCAATCCCGTTAGTCGCCTCTTACGACAAGCAAAGTCACATATTAGTTCAAGCATGGGTTGCTGAAGCCCTGTTCTACCCCGGTTCTTCACGGGTCCCAGTGGACATAAAAGATGACACAGTTTATCATGTACTTCAGTGTGGAAGATTGAGTTTTCTGAAGTTAAGAAAAGTGATAATTTCGTTGCAGTGAACATAACACTTGACATTTCACTGCTATGAACGTAACACTTAAAATTTCACTGCAGTGAACATAACACTTTGACGGAACTATTGTCATCCAACAATTACCTCCCCGCAAATTGCCACCCTTTACCGTAAGTTTCATTGGATTATACAGAAATGAAGTACTAAATTGACACTCCTAGATTTCAGACACGAACGCAAGTAAAAACGCACACACAAACGGACGCGTAAACAAACACAAAATCGTAGATAAACAAGCATGCACGAACGCACACACAAACGCATTCATGCAAGAATGCACGCTCAACAGACGCAAGCACGCACGTCCAAACGCACTCATTTACGCACAAACAAGCGCACGTACAAATGTACATACACAAATGCAGCCATAAACGCACGCCAAAACGCTCAAACAAATGTACGCACACAAACGCAGGTACAAAAACAGGCATGGTGAAACCTTAAAGAAATGCATGTACAAACATACACAAACAAATATGCATGCACGCACAAACCCAAACTTAAACGCACGTACCAACAACAGTACGCACGCATGCACGACGTATAAAAACGCACACACAAAGGCTCACACAAAATTACGCACGCACAGACGCACGCAAATGTACGTACAGAGAGTACACACACACAAGCACCCATAAATGCACGATTAAACGTTACAAAAAATGCACTCATGCACAAATGCCCTCACGCACACACGCGCAGAAACGCGCACAGAACGCACATACAAACGTACGCACGCACACACACAAATACACGTGCAACATACGCAAACAAAAACGCATGCACTCTAAAACGCGCATGCCAACAAACGCACGCACGCATACACAAACACAAGCAAAATTGCTCACACAAACCCAGGTACAAACGCAAGTATGAACGAAAAACACAAAAGGATTTTGAAGACATCTACCCAAAACAAAGTATAACATAATGTGAAAACCTTGAATCTAATATGGATTCCAAATCACGCGAGCAAAGGTCAAAACCAAAGAACATTTAATGTTAAGCACCTAAAGAATTGGAGAAATGAAAGTTTTAAAGTTATCGGGCCAGCGGTTTTGGAGCAATAGAGCAAAATCCTCTCTAAAAAGTTATCTGATTTTGAATTATCTACCCTTGGTCATTGAGCCTACGCCCTTTGGCCTTTTGTGGTATCTAAAACTCAACTGTCTACATGTTCATACAGATTTTGAACAGAATCGAGCCAGTACATCGGCGGAATAATAAAAATTACAAACAGAAAAAAAATAGACATGAAATGGGATGATTACAAAAAGGGCTTCAAGCCTCCAGCTTAAAACCCTAATTACAATAAACAGAAAGGTTACAATATATACGCCTTTCGGTTTGGAGCTCTAAAAATAAATAGAGCGAAACAATAGGGGTATACACATTTATTCTTGGATCCCTAAATATAGTCACTGGTGATGTTTTTTTTAAGTCAATACCTTATTTTTTGGTATAAATGAGTCGTGTAACGCCGTGGCAACGCTTTGTCTTGATATACCCACCTATTGGAACATTAACTGAGAGAAGTGCGCTTGTGGATAGTCCATTAACTCTGTATTCATACGTGGCCCCATCCGAAGTCTGGACATTTGATATGCTCAGAATCTGAGATTGCCCATTCACAAACGTTTGTATGCGAGCGTTGGTCGTCAATACCGCCCCGTTCTTATACCACTGTCCTGTTTGGATGTTACTCTGAGATAAGGTGGCCTGTAGGATGACAGTATTCCCAGTATTGACTGTCTGGGCGGTTGGTCCACTTACAATACTTACGGCGCCTTGAAAATAATGGAAAAAATGACATAAACAATGAAATACATTGTCTAAAAAATATGACAATACCGACATAAACAACAAATACCTTAGTTTACAAATATGGCAATAATGAAATAAACATTGAATACCTTTTTTTTAAAATATGGCAATAATGATATAATTATTGAATACCTTATGGTACAAATACGGCAATAGTGACATAAACATTGAATACCTTATCTTGAAAATAAAGCAATAGTGACATAAACAATGAATACCTAGTGTTAAAAATATGACAATAATGATATAATCATTAAATACCTTATCTTGAAAATATGGCAATAATTATTTAAACATCGAAAACCTCATTTTACAAATATAGCAACATTGATATAAACATTGAATTCCTTATCTTGAAATTATGGCAATAATGATATAAACATTGAATACCTTCACTTAAGAATATGGCAATAATGATATAAACATTGAATTCCTTATTTTGAAATTATGGCAATAATTTTTTATTCTATACATCCAATACCTTATCTTACAAATATGGCAATATTGATTTAGACATTGAATTCCTTATCTTGAAATTATGGCAATAGTGACATAAACATTGAATACCTTATCTTACAAATATGGCAATATCGTTATGAACATTGAATATCTTATCTTGAAAATATGGCAATAGTGATATAAACATTGAATACCTCCTCTTGAAATGCTGGCAATAATGATTTAAACAGTCAATATCTTATCTTATAAATATGGCAATATTGTTATAAACATTGAATACTTTATCTCGCAAATATGGCAATAATGGTATAACATTAAATACCTTGTCTTGAAAATATGGCAATAAATACCTTATTTGTTCGTATAAATGAGTCGTGTAACACCGTGGCAACGCTTTGTTTTCATTTACCCACCTATTGGAACATTAACTGTGAGAAGTGCGCTTGTGGATAGTCCATTAACTCTGTATTCATACGTGGCCCCATCCGAAGTCTGGACATTTGATATACTCAGAATCTGAGATTGCCCATTCACAAACGTCTGTATGCGAGCGTTGGTCGTCAATACCGCCCCGTTCTTATACCACTGTCCTGTTTGGATGTTACTCTGAGATAAGGTGGCCTGTAGGATGACAGTACTCCCAGTATTGACTGTCTGGGCGGTTGGTCCACTTACAATACTTACGGCGCCTTGAAAATAATGGAAAAAATGACATAAACAATGAAATACATTGTCTAAACAATATGACAATACCGACATAAACAACAAATACCTTAGTTTACAAATATGGCAATAATGAAATAAACATTGAATACCTTTTTTTCAAAATATGGCAATAAAGATATAATCATTGAATACCTTATGTTACAAATACGGCAATAGTGACATAAACATTGAATACCTTATCTTGAAAATAAAGCAATAGTGACATAAACAATGAATACCTAGTGTTGAAAATATGACAATAATGATATAATCATTGAATACCTTATCTTGAAAATATGGCAATAATTATTTAAACATCGAAAACCTCATTTTACAAATATAGCAACATTGATATAAACATTGAATTCCTTATCTTGAAATTATGGCAATAATGATATAAACATTGAATACCTTCACTTAAGAATATGGCAATAATGATATAAACATTGAATTCCTTATTTTGAAATTATGGCAATAATTTTTTATTCTATACATCCAATACCTTATCTTACAAATATGGCAATATTGATTTAGACATTGAATTCCTTATCTTGAAATTATGGCAATAGTGACATAAACATTGAATACCTTATCTTACAAATATGGCAATATCGTTATGAACATTGAATATCTTATCTTGAAAATATGGCAATAGTGATATAAACATTGAATACCTCCTCTTGAAATGCTGGCAATAATGATATAAACAGTCAATATCTTATCTTATAAATATGGCAATATTGTTATAAACATTGAATACTTTATCTTGCAAATATGGCAATAATGATATAAACATTGAATACCTTGTCTTGAAAATATGGCAATAAATACCTTATTTGTTCGTATAAATGAGTCGTGTAACACCGTGGCAACGCTTTGTTTTCATTTACCCACCTATTGGAACATTAACTGTGAGAAGTGCGCTTGTGGATAGTCCATTAACTCTGTATTCATACGTGGCCCCATCCGAAGTCTGGACATTTGATATTCTCAGAATCTGAGATTGCCCATTCACAAACGTCTGTATGCGAGCGTTTGTCGTCAATACCGCCCCGTTCTTATACCACTGTCCTGTTTGGATGTTACTCTGAGATAAGGTGGCCTGTAGGATGACAGTACTCCCAGTATTGACTGTCTGGGCGGTTGGTCCACTTACAATACTTACGGCGCCTTGAAAATAATGGAAAAAATGACATAAACAATGAAATACATTGTCTAAAAAATATGACAATACCGACATAAACAACACATACCTTAGTTTACAAATATGGCAATAATGAAATAAACATTGAATACCTTTTTTTCAAAATATGGCAATAATGATATAATCATTGAATACCTTATGGTACAAATACGGCAATAGTGACATAAACATTGAATACCTTATCTTGAAAATAAAGCAATAGTGACATAAACAATGAATACCTAGTGTTAAAAATATGACAATAATGACATAATCATTGAATACCTTATCTTGAAAATATGGCAATAATTATTTAAACATCGAAAACCTCATTTTACAAATATAGCAACATTGATATAAACATTGAATTCCTTATCTTGAAATTATGGCAATAATGATATAAACATTGAATACCTTCACTTAAGAATATGGCAATAATGATATAAACATTGAATTCCTTATTTTGAAATTATGGCAATAAATTTATATTCTATACATCCAATACCTTATCTTACAAATATGGCAATATTGATATAGACATTGAATTCCTTATCTTGAAATTATGGCAATAGTGACATAAACATTGAATACCTTATCTTACAAATATGGCAATATCGTTATGAACTTTTGAATATCTTATCTTGAAAATATGGCAATAATGATATAAACATTGAATACCTCCTCTTGATATGCTGGCAATAATGATAAAAACATTCAATATCTTACCTTATAAATATGGCAATATTGTTTTAAACATTGAATACTTTATCTTGCAAATATGGCAATAATGATATAAACATTGAATACCTTGTCTTGAAAATATGGCAATAAATACCTTATTTGTTCGTATACATGAGTCGAGTAACACCGTGGCAACGCTTTGTTTTCATTTACCCACCTATTGGAACATTAACTGTGAGAAGTGCGCTTGTGGATAGTCCATTAACTCTGTATTCATACGTGGCCCCATCCGAAGTCTGGACATTTGATATTCTCAGAATCTGAGATTGCCCATTCACAAACGTCTGTATGCGAGCGTTGGTCGTCAATACCGCCCCGTTCTTATACCACTGTCCTGTTTGGATGTTACTCTGAGATAAGGTGGCCTGTAGGGTGACAGTACTCCCAGTATTGACTGTCTGGGCGGTTGGTCCACTTACAATACTTACGGCGCCTTGAAAATAATGGAAAAAATGACATAAACAATGAAATACATTGTCTAAACAATATGACAATACCGACATAAACAACACATACCTTAGTTTACAAATATGGCAATAATGAAATAAACATTGAATACCTTTTTTTCAAAATATGGCAATAATGATATAATCATTGAATACCTTATGGTACAAATACGGCAATAGTGACATAAACATTGAATACCTTATCTTGAAAATAAAGCAATAGTGACATAAACAATGAATACCTAGTGTTAAAAATATGACAATAATGACATAATCATTGAATACCTTATCTTGAAAATACGGCAATAATTATTTAAACATCGAAAACCTCATTTTACAAATATAGCAACATTGATATAAACATTGAATTCCTTATCTTGAAATTATGGCAATAATGATATAAACATTGAATACCTTCACTTAAGAATATGGCAATAATGATATAAACATTGAATTCCTTATTTTGAAATTATGGCAATAAATTTATATTCTATACATCCAATACCTTATCTTACAAATATGGCAATATTGATATAGACATTGAATTCCTTATCTTGAAATTATGGCAATAGTGACATAAACATTGAATACCTTATCTTACAAATATGGCAATATCGTTATGAACTTTTGAATATCTTATCTTGAAAATATGGCAATAATGATATAAACATTGAATACCTCTTCTTGATATGCTGGCAATAATGATAAAAACATTCAATATCTTACCTTATAAATATGGCAATATTGTTTTAAACATTGAATACTTTATCTTGCAAATATGGCAATAATGATATAAACATTGAATACCTTGTCTTGAAAATATGGCAATAAATACCTTATTTGTTCGTATACATGAGTCGTGTAACACCGTGGCAACGCTTTGTTTTCATTTACCCACCTATTGGAACATTAACTGTGAGAAGTGCGCTTGTGGATAGTCCATTAATTCTGTATTCATACGTGGCCCCATCCGAAGTCTGGACATTTGATATGCTCAGAATCTGAGATTGCCCATTCACAAACGTCTGTATGCGAGCGTTGGTCGTCAATACCGCCCCGTTCTTATACCACTGTCCTGTTTGGATGTTACTCTGAGATAAGGTGGCCTGTAGGATGACAGTACTCCCAGTATTGACTGTCTGGGCGGTTGGTCCACTTACAATACTTATGGCGCCTTGAAAATAATGTAAAAATGACATAAACAATTAAATACATTGTCTAAAAAATATGACAATACCGACATAAACAACGAATACCCTTTTTTTTTACATATATGGCAATAATGATATAATCTTTGAATACCTTCTCTTGAAAATGTGGCAATAATTATGTAAACATAAAAAAAACAATAATAGACAATTGATATGAAAATGATGAAAACAAACAGTAAAACCTTTCAGTTTTTTTTAAACAGTATATGGATATGTTACAGCTGGCCCAACAGAAATGTTAACGTACTGAAACGTATTGTCTTATTATTTAATATTTATCTTATTATTTTTATTTTTCTCAAATTTATTATTTTATTTATGTTTATTCATTTATTTTCAGTCATCCTTTCTAACACTGAAAATCAAATGTCAAGTATCAAAGGCATTTGTGATTTTAAGCTGTAAGATGATCCCACCTTTGTGTCTTTTAATATTACAATATCAACAGGAGTCGATCAAAGTTGGAAACTCCAAGGCTTAACGAGTATTGGTATATTTGTTACCAAATGACACAAAGGTGAGATTTTCTCTATCTTTCAAAATCGTTCTTCCAACCTTTTCATTTTGTAAACAGTAAAAAGCAATGTTTAAAAAAATTAATTTTTCAGGACGCGTGAATATCCCGGGCTGGAATAGGTCATTCAGCAGCCCATGCATGCCGAAAGAGGCAACTCATGGGATCGGGTGGTCAAGGTCGCTGACTAGGGTGGTGTATGTCGTATCCTAAGTGCGTAGATCGATGCTCATCGGTGTCAGAAACTCGAGGGGCGGTCGGGTAGCCTAGTGGTTAAAGCGTTCGCTCGTCACGCCAAAGACCCGGGTTAGATTCCCGACATGGGTACAATGTGTGAAGCCCATTTCTGGTGTCCCCCGCCGTGATATTGCTGGTATATTGCTAAAAGCGGCGTAAAACCATACTCACTCACTCACTCACTCAGAAACTCGATTGTCTGATTCAGAATCGATTATTTACAGACCGCCGTCATACAACTGGAATATTGCTGAGTGCGGCGTTAAACAAAGAAACAAAGAAACAAAGAAACAGTGTATTGAGTCCAGAAGATACAGCTAACCACTTTCAGCGGCAGAGGGATGAGTGTTGTAAGGAGTTATCATCCCATGTCATAAGTCCAGTGGAAGCTATTTTGGTATGATAAACTAAAATGATATACTTGAAGAAAAAAAAGAAAAATGATGTACCTTGTAAAACAGTAAGCTGAGCTGATGACGCTTCTCCATTTATCCTGAAGCTGATAGTTCCTGCATCTGAGAGGGCGGTGTTTGTGATGAAAAGCTGTCGAAATATACCAGCGGTCAGGATGTTATACTTGCCAGGTTGATGGACAATCGGGACACCATTTCTGGACCAATTACCCTGTCCAGTGATGGTGCCGAGAACAGCGGCCTGGAAGTAGGTGGTGCTACCTACAGCCGCAGTTGCGTTCTGGAGTTCCAGGAGAAACACTGGCCACAACCGAAACATAGGAAAGTTAGAGTTATAATATGAGTTAGCAGGTAAATGCCTAAGACCTGCATGATATCGGACTTTTCTCCCACATAATAGGTGTGTGTGTGTGTGTGTGTGTGTGTGTGTGTGTGTGTGTGTGTGTGTGTGACTGTGTGTGTTTGTGAGTGAGAGAGAGAAAGAGAGAGAGAGAAAGACAAAAAAAGAAAAGAGAGAGAGAGTGTGTGTGTGTGTGTGTGTGTGTGAGAGAGAGAGAGAGAGAGAGAGAGAGAGAGAGAGAGAGAGAGAGAGAGAGAGAGAGAGAGAGTCCGAGTATTACATTGTTTCTGTTTCAGTTTCACTGACTTTTGCTTTCACCACTGTTATTGTATTTGATACTGACCACTGCTATCATATTATTTATTGCCATTGAATATTGTTCTACCACTATTGTGTACCGCGATTGTTGTGCAGTAATATGTAATGATTTGTAAACCTAGTTCACTTTATAATACAACAGTTCGCTCGTCACGCCGAAGACCCGGGTTCGCTTCCCGACATGGGTACAATGTGTGAAGCCAATTTCTGGTGTCCCTCGCCGTGATATTGCTGGGATATTGCTAAAAGCGGCGTAAAACCATAATCACTCACTGACTATAATACAATAGTTATTTGTTGATTGTATACTATTTGATGGTTGGTTGTTGGTTTCACACTAATTTGAGAATCGACACGTGACAGAAATTGATTTGCAATGCTGGGGGAGCGTAGAATAGACAGCCAGACGTAGTGTGTATAATATTTATTTTCATACATATATTTATATGAGCCATAGTGATATAGAAAGAGTGAAGTAGAGAGGGAGTTGAGAGAGATCTTTTGTACTGTGCCATCCATCTATGTATGTTTTATATTGCTCGCCCAAAATGTCGCAGTTTAGTATGGATACTCAACTCAGATACCGTACACTGTCTTCGAGGTGACCTAGCTGTCCTATCCCCGTAATGCCGAGTGCCAGGCAGGGTAACAATAGGTACCATCTTTTAACACGGTTTGGTATGACGCAACCGGGATCGAACCACCAACCTTCCGCTCTACGGACAGACGCTCTATCCGCTAGTTCAAGGAGACAGTCTTGATATTAAGACACGCCCGTATTTGGTCGTTCATACAAATGACAGAGAATCTTACTTTGCTAGATGAATATATGCTATTCTCCTTCATGTTGACCGCCTCCGTGGTCTAGAGGTAGAGCGTCCGCCCGGAGAGCGGAAGGTCCGGGGTTCGATCCCCGACCGCGTCATACCAAAAGACGTAAAAAGATGGTACTTGTTGTTACCCTGTCTCGCGCTCGGCATTAAGGCGTTAAAACAAGGACTGGTCAGCTCGGAGTTAGTATGCTGTGTCTGAGTGGGGTACTCATGTTAAACTGCGGCATGGTATCTCAGTGGGCTAGCACTATAAATCGGCATCAGTCCGGGCTAGTGCAAGCAGCCACACAAACACACACACGTTTACATGCACGTCGCTATATAAGTGCAATAATCTTGGACGCGACGTTAAACCCCATTTCACCTCACCTCACCTCACCTCACCTCACCTTCATGTTGACCTACCTTGTTGGTGAGACAAGTCAATGTGACACGCCAGTATACACAGACAGAACAAAAGGACACGTCCGATCATTCTTGGTTCTTAGCTGAGAACCTGCAACATACAAATATAACTCTGGGTCAGTTGGCCGCTTCGAAAGTGTCCGGACGTTGTACCACGAAGGGATTTAAACCCAGACTTCAGCCTGATGGAATGACGAGTAACACTTTAACTACCACTGGGCTACCCTACAACAACAGCAACATAATACTGCCACAAAAAAGTGGACATATTTTCAAAGAAAGTATTACGGCTCAGTGTAAACAGAGCGGAACCTGTGCTAGTAGTCAGTGAAGCGTCAGTAAAATCAACACACATTGATGGTGCTCTGTGCAACAGCTGCTATTTTTTGGAACAGTGATCATGATCAGCACCTGTGCTAGTAGTCATCACTGACATCATGAGCATCTATCCACGCAATTGGGATCGATGACATGCATCCACCAAATCAGCGAGCCTGACCACCCGATCCCGTTAGTCGCCTCTTTCAAGCATCGTCCCCTTTTATGGCAAGCATGAGTTGCTGAAGACCTGAGTGTGGCGTAAAACAAAAACAAACATGGTGGTATATGTGTAATGCTAGAGCTTGTGGATCTGATTGGCACATTTAATTTTAATATATAATATAATCTCATCAATATTTGACTTATAGCCTGATGAGATGCACTTTATTGAACATGTCTAAATTATTAATAGGTTTAAAGGTATTTCAATGTAAACATGTTTTTAAGGTGTTCAAATTCTAAACATGTTTGGATTATGAGGATGTTGTGTTTAGGTGGTGTCTAGGCTCTGAGGCGATAGCTCATTTCATTTGTATAAACCCTGAACGTGTTTAAATAGAACACACCAAATGTGCATACCGGATTGAAACACATGTCTAAACATGTCTTGTAAGTGTTACACAGTGTGGTTTAAGTAGGGTATAATTTAATGACTAATCTTCAGCATCTTCGCACAAATCTACAGGCAGGAGAGTAAATTCACAGTTTACTAACCTTCTGGCCGCTGTTACTAATTAAGTAAGTAGACTTCACTAGGCTTTTTTGCTCAGTGTACCAGTTTAAAAAACAAGTGACATCTAAATTAGCCCGGGCGGTCGGGTAGCCTAGTGGTTAAAGCGTTCGCTCGTCGCGCCGAAGACCCGGGCTCAATTCCCGACATTGGTACAATGTGTGAAGCCCATTTCTGGTGTCCCCCGCCGTGATATTACTGGAATATTGCTCAAAGCGGCGTAAAACCAAACTCACTCACTCACTCATTAAAATAGCCCAGTCATGTAAGGCTCGATTCGGGCCTAAGCAGCGTTATAATGAACGCTTGGTGGTTACCTTTTCAAGACAAATTGGTATTTGTCAATCCGGATATGTTTACCGGCAATCTTCACTCTTTACTAAGTATAACTTACGGGGAAAACGCGACCTTATAGGGGGACTTTCAGTAACTCAATGAGTCAGGTGTACACTGTAAAGAAGAACAATAGAAGTCCAGTTAACTCATGAAATAAGAAGTTTTGCAGTTGTGTATTATTTGATATTGACATAGTTCCTGTCGGGATGTGATAAAATGTCATGAGTGAGTGAGTGAGTGAGTATGCTTTTAGGCCGCATTCAGCAAATATTCACAGGGCTCGGGGTCTGTCATGGGGTCAGACTGTCAAAGTGTAGACTTAAAGAGAGAGAACACCAACACTATTACCGCTCGGGTGGAGACGCTGAATGTGACAAAACCGCTAGAATAAATCTGAAGCGGCATAGGCACCCTGCAGTACTCACAGTAACAAGTCACACACCGCCAGTGCGTTGGAGGTTGGTAAGCTGGCAAGCCCTACCCCTCGGAGTCAAGTGCACCTAATACCAGTGAGAGCACAGCAAACAAACAATCCCTGTTACTTCTACACAGACCTGTAGGGGGTGGAGAGGACTCGGGGAACAGGTTGTCCTGTCGTCAATTCCCAGAAATATGTGACCCTGGTTTTGTCAGACCATACCAGTGCTGGGCGTCACTCAACTGGTATACATCTCAGATATCAATTGTCAAAGCAAGAGAACAACCAGCCTAGATGTTCTGCATGAACAGATTCCACTTATCGTTAAGGGCAAATAGCTGTGGAAATTATATGAATTGACCACTGAAAATCAGTAATGACACCTTGTTTGCAAAAAGGGTAAACATGTCCTACCTTACCGGTTGCACCCGCCATTCAAACAATTTGCATAAGAAGTAGGTGTTTATTGCCTGACGAGCATCACTGCGGGCTTTCCCACCACATGAAGCTGACTCGCCGTGATTTAACTGGAATGACGTTCAAAGCGCCGTTTACCATTCACGGTGGAATTACATGAAGCGCGGCCGATTCCTTCGGTGAGCTTGCTACAACAGAGCAGGCCATGGATCGGTTGATTCTATCCTCATTGTCGGGAGTGACTGTTGTCGTATTCATATTTCTCATTTTGCATTTGAATAACACTCAAAACCCTTTCTGTGTCTATTTGTATATTTTGTGTTCCGTTTGGCTAAAGATGAGGCCCATATCCCAGCATCATCATTATTTGACGGAGTACCATCACTATTTGACGGAGTACCATCACTATTTGACGGAGTACCATCACTACTTGATAGACTATCACGACTATTTGAAGGACTACCATCACTATTTGACGGAATACCATCACTTTTTGATAGAGAATCACGACTATTTGTTAGAGTGTCACCACTCGCTCTGACACCCAGAACATTCTGTCATGTCGCTCTGACACCCAGAACATTCTGTCATGTCGCTCTGACACCCAGAACATTCTGTGATGTCGCTCTGACACCCAGAACATTCTGCCATCCCGCTCTGACACCCAGAACATTCTGTGATGTCGCTCTGACACCCTGAATATGCTGTCATGTCCCTCTGACACCCAGAACATTCTGTCATGCCGCTCTAACACCCAGAACATTCTGTCATTTAGCTCTGACACCCAGAACATTCTGTCATGCCGCTCTGACACCCAGAACATTCTGTCATGCCGCTCAAACACCCAGAACATTCTGTCATTTAGCTCTGACACCCAGAACATTCTGTCATGTCCCTCTGACACCCAGAACATTTTGTCATGCCGCTCTAACACCCAGAACATTCTGTCATTTAGCTCTGACACCCAGAACATTCTGTCATTTAGCTCTGACACCCAGAACATTCTGTCATGCCGCTCTGACACCCAAAACATTCTGCCATTTAGCTCTGATATCCAGAACATTCTGTCATGTCGCTCTGACACCCAGAACATTCTGTCATGTCGCTCTGACACCCAGAACATTCTGTCATGCCGCTCTGACACCCACAACATTCTGTCATGTCGCTCTGACACCCAGAACATTCTGTCATGTCCCTCTGACACCCAGAACATTCTGTGATGTCGCTCTGACACCCAGAACATTCTGTCATGCCGCTCTGACACCCAGAACATTCTGCCCTGCCGCTCTGACACCCAGAACATTCTGTCATGCCGCTCTGACACCCAGAACATTCTGTCATTTAGCTCTGACACCCAGAACATTCTGTGATGTCGCTCTGACACCCAGAACATTCTGTGATGTCCCTCTGACACCCAGAACATTCTGTGATGTCGCTCTGACACCCAGAACATTCTGTGATGTCGCTCTGACACCCAGAACATTCTGTGATGTCGCTCTGACACCCAGAACATTCTGTGATGTCGCTCTGACACCCAGAACATTCTGTCATGTCCCTCTGACACCCAGAACATTCTGTGATGTCGCTCTGACACCCAGAACATTCTGCCATGCCGTTCTGACACCCAGAACATTCTGTCATTTAGCTCTGACAACCAGAATATTCTGTCATGTCGCTCTGACACCCAGAACATTCTGTCATTTAGCTCTGACACCCAGAACATTCTGTCATTTAGCTCTGACACCCAGAACATTCTGTGATGTCGCTCTGACACCCAGAACATTCTGTCATTTAGTTCTGACACCCAGAACATTCTGTCATGCCGCTCTAACACCCAGAACATTCTGTCATGTCGCTCTGACACCCAGAACATTCTGTCATGTCGCTCTGACACCCAGAACGTTCTGTCATGCCGCTCTGACACCCAGAACATTCTGTGATGTCGCTCTGACACCCAGAATATTCTGTCATGTCGCTCTGACACCCAGAACATTCTGTCATTTAGCTCTGACACCCAGAACATTCTGTCATTTAGCTCTGACACCCAGAACATTCTTTGATGTCGCTCTGACACCCAGAACATTCTGTCATTTAGTTCTGACACCCAGAACATTCTGTCATGCCGCTCTAACACCCAGAACATTCTGTCATGTCGCTCTGACACCCAGAACATTCTGTCATGTCGCTCTCCTTTAGACTGTAGGCCTGGACGGAGCAAGGAGAACGAGAGAGTAGGCCTGGGCGGAGCAAGGAGAACGAGAGAGTAGGCCCGGACGGAGCAAGGGGAACGAGAGAGTAGGCCTGGCCGGAGCAAGGAGAACGAGAGAGTAGGCCCGGACGGAGCAAGGAGAACGAGAGAGTAGGCCTTGACGGAGCAAGGAGAACGAGAGAGTAGGCCTGGCCGGAGCAAGGAGAACGAGAGAGTAGGCCCGGACGGAGCAAGGGGAGCGAGAGAGTAGGGCTTGACGGAGCAAGGAGAACGAGAGAGTAGGCCTGGACGGAGCAAGGAGAACGAGACTGTAGGCCTGGACGGAGCAAGGAGAACGAGACTGTAGGCCCGGACGGATCAAAGAGAACGAGAGAGTAGGCCTGGACGGAGCAAAGAGAACGAGAGAGTAGGCCCGGACGGAGCAAGGAGAACGAGAGAGTAGGCCTGGCCGGAGCAAGGAGAACGAGAGAGTAGGCCTGGACGGAGCAAAGAGAACGAGACTGTAGGCCTCGACGGAGCAAGGGGAACGAGAGAGTTGCCAAGAGAACGAGAGAGTAGGCCTGGGGGGAGCAAGGAGAACGAGAGAGTAGGCCCTGACGGAGCAAGGAGAACGAGAGAGTAGGCCACCGGACAGGTCCGGGGTGATGGTGCGTGTCACTCCACGCCGGGCGTTGTGTGTTTACCCTTAATAATCGTTCCATGGGCTCATTCAGTGGCTATTTGAGGTTTATTGTTGATACAAGCACTGACACAGTAAACGGAATTTAACCAGGTATGTCATGGGAAATACTGAACTATTGATCGTTGTGGACAAAACCTGAAGTACAAGACATTCTTTTCTAGTTTTGTAAACGAGAGAAGCAAATATTTCTTTGCAATACGATTTAGTGTTGTGACCTCAGTGAGGTGTGTGCGGCGTTGTTGTTGTCGACACAGGGCTACTGTAAACACTGTTAGGACATAACTGAATCTCTTCGGTGCAAACATACAGTAAAGGCATGATGTACTTTTCCCCTTTTGACGTTTGGTGTAAATTCAGATCTGACTTACTCGCTATTCTCTAAAGTGTGCAGCACTGGGTGGTCGTTATGAGCTTGGCAAATTGCACTGTTACATCTGCACATACGTGACCAACTCGTGTTATTCCGGGACAAGCCGAATAGCGACTCGTGCCCCTCTTGTCGCCACATGTATTTCCTCATATATTATATATATTTCAGATGCAATTTAAAGCACATCTGGACATGCGAAATTATACAGTATGACTGAACATATTTAACTGGGTGTTGGGTATGTTTTTAGATGCTATACATATGTAAAATCACAATTATTTCTGAGGGATTCTTTGACGAATAACTTGAAATCATACGCGCATTCTAATTGGTTTGTCTTTTTTTCTCACATGACATTCATTGATAGGGGGACGAGTCGTCTTGCAGGTTACGGTAAGGGGCGAGTGGCGACGAAAGATATCTGCATATTTTTGATAACACAATAACATTTAAGAAGCGATACGCATAAGGAAAAGAATGGATTTCAACTTCTTGATTATGAGGAACACAACGTTTCGGAGTATGTGATAAATCCCGCATCAGATGAATGAATGCTATGAGGCAGATAGCATGTGTATGTACATGTCATTGTAATTTTATTATCCGTTGACAGATGTTGTTGACATGAAGCGAGGAGTTATGCCCCCTTTTCTTTGGACGCGTGTAACCTCTCAGTCGGCTTTTGACGTCATAGAGGAAAATAAGTTTTCGACATTCACGGCAGACTATTTTTTGCATTGAATTTTTGTCGTTATACATACAAATATATAACTCCATTTATTATATATTTATGATGTTCAGATATTAGGCAGTATTTTGTTAACTCACAGTTGTCCCCAAACCGGCTAAATAAAATAATCGTCGCACAGTACTTATATGGTTAACGATAAAAAGCGGAGAAATTTCTAGTTTTTCAACACAGAATAATTTCTCGGACAACACTTTGCAGTATCTTTTTTTTCAAACCAGTTTACTGTTTGCTGTTAAATGTACACCATCAGGTAGGAAAATTAGTATTCTACAGGTAGATCCAGTGCCGCGTGAGCGCAATTCTCGCACAACCTTCACTTTTCAGATCTTAGGAAAATGTGCGTCAGAAAAAACCCGGGCGGGACTGAGAATCTAACACTTATACTGGTATGGACTACAATCACCATGTTTATATGTAGTCCTATATCATATAATGGGTAGGTTTCTCGGCAGGAGAAAGCCAACGAATAAAAACGATATCCTTAGGGGTCATATGCGGATAGAGATGCAAATATCAAAGGTCAAGTAAGGACTACTTTCAGTGTTTATAAACAAACATGGCGTCACCCTTGTCATTCGGCAATCGAATCAGAATTAAGCATCGGGAATCTAGATAACCTACAGGGATAATTGCTATCATTATTAAATGAACAGTCTATTATACTGAAAATCAGTGTCTAACTGTTACGTAGCTAAGGCATTTAAAAAGTTTTGGGAACTTTGGACATATAATTTCGAAACAATTTTTCGAGGGCACCAGGCCTAGCCAAGCGGGATCAGTAGCCATATATGTGCTTGTAGACCTCTGCGGTTTGAAACCGTTTCCACAAATTAAAAAAGTTGGATTTGGCCGAAAGATGTTTGAATTGATACCTTGTTTCGTTTTGTCGCTGTGTGTACATCTGACAGCACTTCTTAACGTTATGCCACGACAGGCCGACTGTATAAACGTGGCCGTGACGTCTCATAGACTAGAGTTAGAGTAGCGTCCCTTTGACAAAGGGCAGTTACTCTAGCGGACAGACCGATGGACTGCCGCGAAAGGCAAAAAAGAATTGTTTTTTTGCGTATATGTTGCTTCGCCAATGTATTTAAAAAATAATTCAGTTGAAACTATATTGCCTAATGTCACTGTCCGACTGACACATCACTAACCAAGTGATGCGCGCATTCCAGGAAAACTCGCAATGGTTCGGTTATGTTTGTGAGAGGGAAAGCGATTTTCCAGCAGTGAATTTAAGAATGACCATGCATTTAGCTCGCCAAGGCTCGCTAAATACAATGTTTAATCCTAATGCAGGATATTTACCATTCCCAAACACACTCGCGTTATAACCTCTATATACTTATATACTTATATATAACTAACCTGTGGTCCCCAACGATCTATATGGGTGGTAGTAGGCGACTTCCTATCTCGGTAGCCAGGGTCGGGAACTTGGTTTATTGGAGTAATCGTACCCGGATAGTGTTGACCGTTGCTAATAATAACAGTCACTGGTACAGACTCGAATATTTACAGGTCAAAGTCATCAGATTGGAGTTGTGTTAGGTAATGAGTAAAAATGAACACAAAAGAGCAAACACTAATTATAACGTCGTCCTAGTGATGAGATCGAAACCTCGTCATCATCAGTGAGCTGAAATGGGTTTAACGTCGCGTTCAAGATTATTGTACTGATAAAGCAACGTACATGAACGTGTGTGTGTAATTGTGTGAATGTGTGATTGTTAGGCTGTGTGTGTGTGCGCGCGTGTGTGTTAGTATGTGTGGCTGCGAGTAGTATAGAACGGGTCGCCAGGAACCCTTTTTGGTTGAGGGAGGTTGAGGGAAAATAGGGAAGGTGATTGGCTGATCCAAGTCACGTGATCGGATAGGATGACTCATGCATCAACAGCGCGTCGGGAAAGAGGGGGATGAAAGGTGTGTGTTTATAAGGCAGAAAAGAATTCGTAAGAAAACAAAAGTAAAAGGTTATGAATAGAGAGACCGTACCCGTCAGCCCAGTTTGAATTGAGCGCGCTTGACAACTCACGTGGACCTATATTCAAATAACCCGCGCTCGCTAGAGCGTGCGACCTTGTTTGATGAATACATGTTGTGTGTTAAAAGTACATCATACCACAATAGAGACGGGTTATGTCAACACGATATACGTAACGCTGAAGGCAGCCGGATTTCGAATCACCCCGCGCTGCGTACTATTGTGAACCATTTGTAAAGAATTATTCAGCCCTGTCCCGACTTGCATAGTTGATGTTTCAATGCTAGCATTTCCATTTAACGCGATGACAAAAAAGCCCTACGGTTTGAGTTTTAACCGTGTAACATGATGTGCACAGTTTTACTTCAGAACGTGCTATTTTGAAAATAGATAGAAAACTGATAAGTACATGTACCAGTGTGACGGCACGAAGCTAGGTTTGTTGGGAAAGTGATGGAAGCAATCTATAGGACATTTTCATGTTTACAATACTCACCCTTAATTCCAAGAGAGAACAGAGTTTATCATGGAAAATTGTTTGACGAGGAAATGCCCACCCGCCGCCGCAAGTCCACTGGCCAGAGGCGGCGTTAGCGGGTGGGCTTGTAACGGCGGCGGCGTTAGCGGGTGGGCTTGTAATGGCGAGTGGACTTGCGGCGGCGGGTGGGCTTGTAACGGCGGCGGCGGTATGCTATGTTTATTTCTCCTGTGTCGTAACATGACATCTCTCCTTGAAAATTTGAGTGAGTGCGTATGGTTTTACGCCATTTTTAGCAATGTTCAGCAATATCATGGCGGGAGACACCAGAAATGGGCTTCACACATTGTACCTATTTGGAGAATCGAACCCGGATCTTCGGCGTGACGAACGAACGCTTTAAGCACTAGGCTGCCCCATCAGCCTCATCACTCGAAGGCATACAGTGTTGTACAACATGAAATACAAACGACAAAACCATTTCCATTATGCGGACCCTCTGTCATTGATTGTAACATGATCACATTATTATTTAAAATGGAGCGACTTAACATATCATATTCACTCCCGAGTTTATTCATCTGTGTAAAAACGCCGGATTAAAAGATAGGTATTCGTTGTCGAGGGAGTTGTCAAGAGAGACTTGGTGTAATTATCTGTGGTATTGTGAAGGCTTGAATGTATGGAACGGCCGTGTCACGCAAAAGTAGTTAAACACATTACAATGCAGCTCCATTAAACTGGTTTCACTGTTGGTTTGTGCCGGCAAGCTGAGCGCTTTTATCTTTTATTTTTGGCCGAGTGAGCAGTGATTTGTACAAGCACAGAGAGATATCATGGTAAAAGTAGGCGAAAACATGTGAAACTGGAAATATGTGTTTTACGAGGGTCTGTGAACAACGAGTCTTCTCCAGATGACCTAGTAGTTGAGAACATGAGCATCGGTTAATGACAATAATTTAGTTTTGTTTGTTTGTTAAAATTGCAAACATACCAGTTATCAGCTGTAGTAAATAAAGCGACAAAACCCTTTCCATATCCAATATTAATATGTGCTAAAAGCAGAGTCGATTGTGCTATTCCGACTATACCATGAGCATGTGTTTATGTATCACCATCAAATAGTAATAATACCAGGTGTTCGCGAAAAGGCGAGCGCATCCTGCCCTAGGGACCCGTCACAAACGCATGCAAAGGCAAGTCAATCGTTCACCTGAAAAAAAAAAACACGGGAAAATATGGTAGGGAAAATAGGGAATTGCATCGGACATCATTTTTGTCACTGATGCAGAAATGCTGTAATATGATGCTTGTGTTAACCATAGGGAAAATATATCATGACAGCAAACATGACGCGGTAATTGAAGACACGTGGTAACATTAATATCTGGGTGGAACAAAGGCCGATAATCCAGACTGGCAGATACGTGCGAGGAAACACCATACAAACTCGTACGGCGATTTAGACGACCTTGTCACTTGTTTTAATCAACACAGGGCTTCCCCAAACACAAATTTATCTTATAAAACTAAGACATATTTTTGAAAATATGTGGGTTAGCCTAGTGGTTAAAGCGTTTGCTCGTCACGCCAAAGACCCGGGTTCCATTCTCCTCATGGTTACAATGTGTTATGCCCTTTTCTGGTGTCCCCCGCTTGACATTGTAGAAATTATGCTGAAAGCGGCGTAAAACCATACTCACTCACTCACTCACTCCATGGATCGGCAACAGTTGGGTCCAGTCTCTTCAGGACCACATTCACCACACACCTGTGTTTGATATTCTCACACATACGCCAATTGTAATACAAGATTTATGAATCATAATCAGTAGCATGGACTATTTGGAGAGCAGAGGGTGGATATATTCATGAGAGTGTCCTACCCAAACCTTTCTAGCAAACAAACGCTACTATAACCTATAGTAATGAAAAATGTACTGTGGGGCAGAACATGAATACACTCAAGAGAGAAATTGTATGGCTGTCTCCATCAACTGTCTCTTATGTGTAGCACGTCTTAAAGCCATTGCAAGACTTGGTGAATACAGTGAATACACCCAGTCATGCTCAGGGCAGAGCCCGATAACGTTATACATAGATGGCCATTGAAGGAACATTGCTGCTGTGCCGTTTACAAAGATCGACTTCACATAGATATGTCGTAGGAATAATAGAACAGTTATATGTCCTATCAATGAGGTCCAGCTGGGATTCTGGGTACATGTAAATCTACTTGGTGTCAATCATATTCTCTCTTACCAAGGGGCTTGGTATTCTGATTATTATTTTGTTGGATTGTTTGACCAACATGAATAGAAAGATGTTTAAAATTGAGGGTAGGCCAAATGAATCCCCTTTACAGTAAACTACGGTTATAACGAACTCGAAGGGACCACCCATTTTAGTTCGACATAACCGTAGTTCGTTATAAGCATATATGCAACACAAGGCCAGGGCTTACAAGTAAGTTCGTTATATCGGTCAGTTCGTTATAAGCGCGTTCGTTATAACCGTATTTTACAGTATTAGCTTTAAACATTAACGCGAGCATGCATGTAATACGACAAAGGCGAGTATGTCTGTATGGGCGGTCAGCAACAGAAATCTGTCCTCGAACATATCGTTATATTACACACAAATGTTAGCCATGTGATGGGTGTATATTTTCCACAGTGAGTGAGTGAGTGAGTGCTGGAACACCAGACAGCTTTACACATTGTAGGGAATAAAACACGGAACTTCGATGTGACGAGCGAACGCTTTAATCACTAGGCTACCCCACCGTATGATCTGATCTCATCCATTACGAAATGTAGAGTAAATATGGGATTGGCGTTTCAAATCTTAAAGGACGAATGTGAAGTTAAACTTCCATACAGAATATAATGCAAACTGTAAAGAAGGGATGTTAAGGGGATGACACTCGCAGTATTTTAATTTGGAGACGCATTAATTTCATGGCTTAATGAAACTATAAAGGCAACAACTGAAGAGTTGTGATGACACATTTAATTGATAATCAGGCATCTGATGGAGGGCGGCCTTACAGAATGAGTGAGTCTTTATATTTAAACGATGTTTACTGAGTCACCTCAGGTAGTGTTATATCGGTCAGTTCGTTATAAGCGTGTTCGTTATAACCGTAGTTTACTGTATTAGATTTAAACATTAACGCGAGCATGAATGTAACACGACAAATGCGAGTATGTCTGTATGGGCGGTCAGGAACACACACAAGTGTTAGTCATGTGATGGGTGTATATTTTCCGCAGTGAATGAGTGAGTGCTGGAACACCAGACAGCTTTACACATTGTAGGGAATAGAACACGGAATTTCGAGGTGACGAGCGAACGCTTCAATCACTAGGCTACCCCACCGTATGATCTGATCTAATCAATTACAAAATGTAGAGTAAATATGTGATTGGCATTTCAAATTTTAAACGAAGAATGTGAAGTTAAACTTCCACATAGGATATAATGCAAAATGTAAAGAAGGGATGTTAATGTTCAAACTAGGGGATGACAGTCGCATTAATTTAATTTGGAGACGCATTAATTTCATGACTTAATGAAACTATAAAGGCAACAACTGAAGAGTGGTGATGACCCACTTAATTGATAATCAGGCATCTGATGGAGGGCGGCCTTACAGAATGATCTTACTGAGTCACATCAGGTAGTGAAGACACCAACAATAGGCTTAATACCATTTGGCTGGGGTTTTAAACGCAGTCTTAAGCCTGACGATCCAGTGCTTTTACCACAGGCTATCACACCGTCCTAGGGATTTACGAACATGAAGACGAAATGAAGTGAGCGAGTTTACTTTATAAAATATCCAGGTACTTAGCAAGCCTTTATTATGGGCAAGGTGTAAATGGGCCTAGTTGCCCGAACACCTATAAAACAGTTTACTAATCAATCAATCAATCAATAAATGTCACAGCTACACAAACACTACACATAAAGGTCCACGTGTACAGTTTATAGAACTGTACTTAAACATATTTAACGTACACGCTTCAATAAAAGCATCAACCGGCGATGGGATACAACCAGTAGTTGTTCTTCAGCTTTGCATTCAAAGATTTTAAAAAGTGTTTTACAACTCTTGCTCAAAAGATGTTTGATCTGGTTTACACACAAAGCTTCAGTCAAGTTTGTAAAAATATTTGTGGTGGACATGTGGAGGTCATTACCAAATTGGAAGCTTCAGTGACCCAATGCTGCACGATGCAACCTAGCATGTATTTCTCGTAAATATCGATAACCTAATAGACATATGAAGGTTCTGAGATGATCTGACGGCTACGGCTGAATTGAACAGTGTATCCGTATGCATGGTCGGCTCCAGAGTTGCGTCTTTCCATAACCGAGTCGTGCTGGGAACAAGAACAACGGGTGAATGTATGCTTGAAAAGGAGACCGATTATCTCTCGGAACCTCGCAGAGGGTGTGGTTATAGCTGTGCTACTGGCCTAGGAAGCAGTTCCAACGAAAGATGCGATAGTTACAGATAAATGTGACGTGCATGTGTAACTACACCACAAAGTGTTGTCTGACATTCGAGTTGTAAACTATCCAACATTCGGGGGGGGGGGGGGGGTCTACAGACATAGCACTGAAGGTGTCTGCAGCATGTTGCCCCCTGAGTTACAGTATTACCCTGTAAAGTGCTGGATGTCGCTGGCTGTTTCTTGCATGTAGTAACTTTTGGTATCTGCCATCTAGCCAGGGCGGTCGGGTAGCCTAGTGGTTAAAGCGACATGGGTACAATGTGTGTAGCCCAAAGTCGATGTTGTTTGAAATAAATCTTGAAAATAATAATTGAATTGATATATCGATGACAGCCTGTGGCGAGATGAAGTATTATCCAATAGTATCGATGGCTTGATGTTACAAAGCCATGTTATGTTTCATTGACGGCAATGTTTTAATGTCACCAGTACATTCCTACAACGTCAAGAGATTAAAATCGACCTTCGTCCCTGAAGTGAAATATCAGTGGTTCCTGAATATTTACTGGACGCGTTCACTGTATCGTGAAATCGCTCTATATAACTTCCTACTGCATGTATATAAGCACAGTCGTTTACAAAATAACACACTCCTCTGCCATAAGCTGTTTCTGCGCTTTAAAGGTCGCCCTAATACATGGTTATAGGACGGATGCTTTAGAGGGTTATCAACTACAAAGCCCGTATAACCACATTGGCGACATCAAAATGTACTACCAGTACAATAGATGGAAACTAAATAGAATACGGTTTTATTTAAACTCAATATTTTATAGAGTAGAAGATATTTGTATTAGAGTGTCTTAGTCTTGAACCATATACTCTGTGAACACCACACACTTCTCTTTACAAATCCTACATTATGTGAACACCACACACTTCTGTATCCATACCCTGCACTAGCCGAACACTACACACTCCTCTATTCAAATCCTACACTATGTGGACAAACACAATTCTATATCCAAATCCTATATCACGTGAAGACCCCGTGAAGACCCACCGAACACCACGTGAACACCACGTGAACACCACGTGAACACCACGTGAACACTAAGCACCACTCAATGCAGAGCCGTAAACCTTCACTCAACCATCACTCACCCGTATGGCAACCAATACCAACAGGTGTGACATAAAGTATTATTACGCAAACCCTGTCATCTCTGTCAGTTACAAAACACCTAGTCACAACCCTCTCCCACGCAGTCATGACTTACCGGTTCTGCAAGTTAAAATTATCTAGTCTCATTTGTATTCCAACAAAAAAGCTAGCTAGGCGATAAATAGCATAGAACAACGAAGAACGGAGCGTGTTTATTTCACATTGTTCTATCATTACGCCATTTCTGGAGATTCGAATATGTGAACGATCGCATCACAATGTGGGAGGATTATGACAATAGGTATTAGGAGGATAGTGAAAATATGCCGGAAATACCAAACTTAACCCACCTGTTCACAAAATAGACTTGTCCAACATTTCCGGAGGTCGGATTCTAATCAGAGAGTCATCATAATTAATATTAAGGTAACTTATTTTTAAAGCTTGTACATTTAGCAACACCCTTACAGAGGCTGTAATATAATCATGTTTATATCCTATAAAAGAGTGGGAGTTATTTATCGTACAATAAAACACAGCTGGGAGCACGAATTGCCTTCACACTATCATGCATGAGAGAGTTAC